ATTATTGCCATTATCGCATTTTGAACAAGTCAAACACCTGCCCTCCTAATCATGTCTGCCCACACAGGCCAGCCAAGCTATTCTGCAAGTTCCCCCTGCCCACCCTACAGAAAGAGCTGCAAGACTGACAGGGTAAAATCCTGAGCCACCTTCTCCGATCTCCGAGCTGACCACGCTTTGGGCAGCAGGTTGACTAGGAACCTCCTAAGCTCCCTTCTAAAGCAAACTGTTTGGTGGTTCTAAGTTTTCAAGCAGGGATAGCAATAAAAATTGTTAGAACATTCAGCTCTGTAACATAATCCTCCAATGCTTCCTTTCTTTAGGATTTTCCCCTAAATCTAAAGGATAGGCCAATGGCCACCACAAAGCCCAGGATCTGGACCCCCTCATGTGCCCAGGGGCTCAACACATTCACTCAGCACTCAGAATCTTGCAAACCTTTAGGTGCTTCTCTTCAGAGGATTTCCAAATTCTTCCTGCCAGTGGCCTTTTTTCAAGGTCTTAAAACTTTGACATTCATAGATTATCTTTCATAGCACTCACTGATGAAGTGCTGACTCGAATGGTCCCTGACAAGTTTCCTGAATGCTGTAGTATCAGTTCATGTGTTAGAGCATCCATAGTAAAAAGCAAAAATAAAAAGCACCAAAAAGTCACAATAAATGGTGAAATTAAGGCAACATAACACACTTTAAATCAGAAGAAGAGCTACAGCTCAGCTCCTGGGCAAGGAAAGGTTATAATTTACCATAACAGGACAAAGAATACACATCAAATTACTCACTTTTCAGAATCTCTCTTATGCACAAGCATCAGCAAAAGTGACTATACGCTTGCAAGCAACCAGCAAACTAGAAGGGGAGATTTTTCCTAATTACTGTAGGTTATAATCCTCTTGAGTGTTTCTCTTTCCCCTCCAAATAAACCACTGATGCTGCGCTCACATTAGCAGAATTCCCCACCCAACCTGGATGGTTCATTTCCCCAGGCTTGCTTTTTAAGGTGAGAAGGAAGCAGGCTTTGCCAGAGGGTGATTTAGAGCATCTGATGACTTAGGAACATAACTTGGGCTACCCCCCACTTTCCTACAAAAACCTAAGATAAGCCTCCTAATCTAAATTAGGTGCTTAAAATCAGGTGGTGTGCTTATTTTTTTCCTTATCTCCCCATTAGCACTCCAAATCCTAGTGCTCACCTGTGTATCTTTAAAGGTCATATCCACAGCTGGTAATTTTCCCCCCAGTTTTTCTTCAACCAAAAGGGGGATATTACAAAAAACAGTAAGAAAATGCTATTGCACAAGGTTATGTTGTGAAATGGAAACCATTCAGGAAAGGATGAAATGCTTCCCAGTGCTCTAATATGGCTTTGGAAATTCTTTAAATTTTGAACTGCTGATGTCCTGTTAGGCAATCTCCTGCAGCAGAATAAATCTTGGACACAGGTGTCCCATAACACAAGTGACCTTGGATGAAAGCCACAAACATGGCAACAAAATAAACTAGCACATATCCCTTGACATGTAGCCAGTGCTACATTTTCCTGCAGCAATACTGTCAAGAAGTAAAACGCAGAGCTAAAAGTCAACTACAGCTCCATATCCAAATAAAAAGTAAAGGCAAATTAAATCTTTCCTCCTCTCCTAAAATTAGAAACAGAGCAAGACCATGAAGCTATAAACTGAGTATTTAGTCTATAAACAAAGCAATACTCTCTTTTTCTTGTCACAGTTAATCTTGGATGTGTTCGCCACACATTCTCTGTGTCTTCCCCAACCTGCAGCACAGTCACAGAATTTTCTATCAGGATTTGGGCCTTGATTCAGTAATTTGACCCTGAACTGCTGAAAAATTTGCTCAAAATCTGTTTGAAAACATTTTACAAAAAACTGTATCTAAAGAAAGAAAAAAAAAAACAGTAAGAGAATCTCACGATCCATGCTTTGTGGGAATATCTATCGACAGAGGAGTCTGGCATCCACATTTCTTCCTAATTCAGCAGATCACATCCACAATCTCCCAAGAGGGGCACGTGAGAGGAAGACAGAGGAATCCAGAATCACCATTAAGTGAGATTTCTGTGTTTACAAAAAGCAGAAGCTGAAGATCTAAGGCAAGATCCTGATGCCCTGGAAAACCACTGTGTCCTGAAGCTACAGAACAGAGAGCCAAGTGAGAGGGTAACACAGCCTAATCAGAGCAGAGATGAGCATAAGCACTCCTTCTGTGACAGGCAGACAGGCATGATTTGCAACCACAAACAGCTGCTACCTCAGCCATACAGTGGCAGTGGTTTTTCAGTACATGTATTTTATTAGAAGAATATCCATCTCCCAGTAATAGAAAACCCATGAAACAATCAAATGTGTCCTCACAACGCTCAGGAAGAAGCAACCACAAGAACTGAGGCAGAACCACAGAACTGTGCAGAATTCTCCTGTCTTGACAGAACCACCTTTGGCAGCCAGGAAAGTCCTTTGGAGTCTCCAGCCTGGTGCCTCAGACAGCACTGAGTTCCAAAATCAGCCATACTTACCTATCAGAGGAGCCCAGTGGGAGAGCATTTGCAGTCTCTTTACCTTAGTCCTGATCTTCATGGGATCAGAATGCAATGGGATAAATACACTGAAAATCAAAACCAGGAGTAGTAACTTCCTTGGAGCAATTTCCCTGCCTGCTCTACCAGTGAAATCAGTGCTTGAGGTACTTCTCATGCATGGACTCTCTCTTGGCCAGGCTGGCTTCTTTTTCATTCCATCACAACAGTGCAGACAGCCTGTCAGCTTTTCTTCAAAACAACAATATAAATAGAGCTAATCATGCTGTTCACCCTCACTAAGTTGATCGTTGCTTGGCAGAAGTCAACAGCTATGATCCTTGTTACACTGAGGAACCAGACTCCATGTCTGTGTTTAATCTCGCCTCGTGCCGGCACATTTCTGAGGGGTCTATACATAGAAATGGATGGTGGGAACCCGCTCGGATCACTGCACACTCCGATGCACTGCAGTGCTCTGTGATTACTCTTGCTGGGGTCTTGTTTAAGCCCCTGTGTCCTCCAGGAAGACACTTATGGCAGGAGGGAGGCACGACCCAGGGTTTGCCTTCTCCACGGGTAAGCAGCTCTTGCAGAGAACGGCCACAACTGCTGCTGAGGGTCGTGTCGGCCCCACGGCTGCGGTCAAATCCCCACACAAAGCTGCTGGGCTCCATTACCACACTCTGCACAACAACCTGTCACGGCAGTCAGGTACAAGGCAAGGTGTGTTGTGTAAAAAAAAGACAGTATGGATTATTTGTATTTAATGGAAACTGCTTAAGGCACCCTTTTATGTTGCAGCTGCACATTCTGCTCTCCAGGGTGCTGAGAGATAGGTGGCCAATATATTTAATAAAAAATGAAACCATCCATTATTCATATACTGATATGACATTTCTGTACTCTCTAGTTCACTCTGAATCTCATTTATATGACTATGGATAGTTTTCCTCATGTGCAACACAGTACCATGTAACTTAAGCTCTGCCAAAAAAAGCCCACAAATTCAGCAGGAAACTGCATGGGACTGGTTAAAATCCCAGTAATTTAATCACACAGGTAATTAAATTATTTGAATTATTCATTTAACATACCTGGTAACAAGAGTAAGCAAACACTGATCATATTTTACCCTTGCTGGGGACTAAAAGGAACAAACTCCCATTTTAAGCAGATCAGGAGTTAGAATTCATGTTAAGAATATGATTTTAGCTAAAAGATGAACGCTGTCAGAGGGCAGGAGGTGGCATAGGAGTCATCATTTTTTACCCATTTACTTGGGCAAAAAATACACTCTTTAGAGCCTGCTAAAAGTGGCAACCTCAACTTCAGAACCAATCCAGCATGTTTGTTAATACCTGCAGAGGGGTTTCCCAACAACCTGATAACATGGTACAGATGATACTGTGGGTCACCTGGAGTTCTGCTTCCAAGTCAGCAGGTTCACCTCAAAGCCTCAAGAGGAATTAGCAATTGGGATGTCATCCATCACCCAGCTGAGAAGCACTTTCTTCCTACAGGAGAGCTCGTCACACCAAGCAACCCACACAAAATACAATTAAACCATGTCACTGCTAGACAGATTGAAACTGCAGCTCAATAGAGGAACTCACTGTTACTAAGCAATTTCATAAATTATGTTCTGGCAGAGCTTCTCTGGAGGGTATTAGCAATGATCCACACTAGGACCTAGCAAATTGCTTGGGTAAAATCTTAGCTCCATTAGAGCCAACAGCAAAAGTCTCAGGCACTTACACAGAGCCAAAATTTTATTTTCTCATGCCAGCTGCAACCCAGTGCTACGGCTTTGGGCAAACCACACTGATTCAGCCTCCTGAGTTAAAAACCATGGACAGCTAACCACTGCTTTTGGAGAGACTGTGGAGCATTCACAGAAGTGGCCCATGCAGAAGAGGGCAAGTATCATCAATCAGTGCTATTTAGCAAACAGGCCACTTCAGCAACTCACCGTCAGGGAAACACTCCACTGATACAGACACCAGGCTTGCAGTTCCAGCTGGATTCCCCTCTTGTCCTGTGCAGGCTTAGTAAAAGTATCTTCTTTACGAACTCCATGAGCAGAAGACTGGCCCAAACTCTGGTGCAATCCCCCCTCTCTCAGGACTGCAAGATGACTATCTTCACTGGTTTGGTACTTTGAGAATTGTAGTTGGGTGTTCTGCATCAAACATCAGCCGTGTTCTTTCACAGGCAGTGCATGTACATGAACAGTCGCCTTCACGAGTCAGAGATTAACAAAAACACTGCTACACAAATGCAGACATTAAACTCTGCGTAACACACACATTTGTTTAAAATTAATTCCGGGGACTTATTGCAAATAGGTTTTATGGCTGTATGAAGGGAGGCTATAAAAGGACATTTGGCTCCTTAGTAGGTGGCATGTTACATTTTTAAAAGAAATATTATTCCTCCCAGATAAATGCACAACAGATGTAACATTTGACCTAAGCAATAAGATTTATTACTATTTTTAAAGCAAATTCAGCACAGCTTAAGAGAACACTGTACAGAATTCTTTAGGCTAGGAAAAGGTTCTTCTTGTCATCGATGCATGCTTTGCATTTGTCAATTCTTGCCCTCAAAGCCAACCCAGAGTTTAATATTTCAAGCTTCTTACAAAGGTGATGATCCTGCAATTCAATCTGCTAATGTAGCACATAGCAGGCTCCCTCTAGTCACTGCAGGCATGGGCTCATATCTTTGCTTTTCATATCAAAAGAAATCTGCATGGCCTCTTTGGTCTCTTTCCGAGCCCCAAAACATTCCATGTGATTTACATTAAGCATAATACCAACAGCACATGCAATCAAAAGTGTCACACGTTGTTTGGCAGTGAAAAATAAACATTACAGCTGTGATCAAAGAATGTGTCTTGCTTATATAGTCTTATATTCATTTCTTTAGCTCATGCACTTTCGTATAAATATTTATTGTTTAGTATTTTCTTCAGAAGCCATAGTTCTTCTGTTTTCTAAAAATAACCTGCTTATGCATAGTCTTCTATTTTCAAAGCACTGTTCTTCCTTTTGTTGAGTTTGTTTCCAATATCTCTGTGCATGAAAAGTTGTGAAAGATGGGTATGTGCAACTTTGGTAGCAAACATGTTGAAAATACCTAAAAATGAGGAACAATTCTTGCATAAACACCATCAGTGGTAAACAGTCCCAGTGAGAAAAAATCAATAGGCCTCCATGTCATGTAGTAATTTTGCATTTTGCATAAGGGCATGAAACATGAAAATTAAAATATACCTGAGAATAACATAAAAAAATCTCATTTTCAAGAAAACACTCACTTTTGTTGCTCAACAGTTTTAAGCATCAAGTAATTTTTTTAAGTTTTTGCATTTCACTTCCTGTAACATAATCTCAGATGGTCCAGCAGGCAGCCCCTGACCAACACTCAGGTGAATCGTGGAGCTGACACTACAGTGTTCACATTGGAGAAATCAGTGCATCTGAAAGGTCACCTCCTACCCCACCACTCATAGAGATTAAGCACTTAAAACTGTGAACCTCTGTACAGCCTATAAAGAGAATCTTGGACTTAATACAGCACTTTCACTTTGTTGTTTTTGATATGGACAACTGCCAGTGGAAAGTATTAGCAGTGATCCAAACACTAGGATGTAGCAAAGTGCTTGGGTAAAAGCCTGGCTCCATCAGAGCCAATCACAAAACTCACAGGCACTTCTGCAGTGAGCACTGGGATCAGATCCATAGGCCAGGAAAGTTTCTACCTGTCTGTGGCCCAAGCACTGCTTTAGTTCTTCACTTTACACTGGATTTGCTTGGAAAGGGGAAGAGGGGAGAACCTGGACTGGAATTCCTTTCTGATCCCAAATTCAAAGCACCTCACCAAACGGCATCCTCTAGAAGATCTAGGCAACACTGCAGATCTGAGATCACATAAACACATCACCTATAGATCCTCTCCAAATTGGTGTTCCCCGAAACTCTTTTAGTCAAGGAGTACTTCATCAGCCAGCTCCCTAGCCACGGAGCACTGTTGGTAGCCCTTTAGTGGGATGTATGCTGAGAATCTTTAGGAAAGACTGTAATCCCACTGAGTGTTTTCCATTGGTGACTGCACATCAGCCAGGATAAGTAGTTCCCAGACTTTTTAAAGGGATGCAGTTGATTTCTGTCAGAGAAAAATCATCTTAGAGTCTTCACCTCTCATTAATGGCTGTCAGTCAGGGTACTGACATCCATACAGATATTGCATGTTGTGTTTGAAAAGTATCTGAGTGTATCCACAGTGAGTACTGGGATTAGATCCACAGGCCAGGAATGTTTCTACCTGTCTAGTGCCAAAGCATTGCTTTAGTTTTCCTTCATTTTACACTGGTTTTGCTTGATTGGCTTTACAAAAGCAAAAGCAGTCAAGAGATGTCCAAAGCAATCAGCTTGACCTGCTCATACATCCTGGTTTTATACTAAGACTTCCTGCTATCTGGAATAGTTGCCTGGCTTCCTTTAACACGTTGGGAACATCCATCAGTGTTCTATCACATACATCCTATCAAGGTTTGACACCCAAAAGGAAAGGGTGCTACTTTCACTCATAAGGTCAAGAAGTTCATAGCCCCACCTGCTGTAGGCTTTGCTGCAGTGAGGGAAAACAGATTCCCTGTCCACCTGCAAAGACAGTCTCTTGGACTTGAAGAATGTCCTCAATCAGAGATGGAGATCCTTGGAGAACTGACCACCAGACCACCAAACATTATCGAGACTGACTACAGCACATGTCAGACGAGGACTGGGAGCTACATTACATAGGGCATGTTTGCCTATCCTTCCAGCACAGTTCAGTCTGAGGTGTGGAGATTTCAAAGCCCCGTATTTAGAAGTAAATCACAGAGAGGTTCATCCTCTCCACATCCACCCAAACCACAGGCACAAGTGAGGGAGTTTTGTAGTTCTGTATCACCTGCATATGCCAAATGAGAGACTTTGTTCTATATACAGAAATGCAATTGATAGGTTGCATTGCTTCAAGAACAACAGGTTTTATAAAAATTGCTTAAGGTTTATCTTTTCAGGTATTTTGAATACTCCCTGAAATATCCCATAACATTGTGGTTAGCAAAGAGAAGAAAAGGAGGGAAGAAAAAGACTGAAAAGTATTCTGGAACAGAAAGACAGTTAATCATTCAGGTTGTCCACAATTCCTCTGGCCCACGAAAGTCTCAATTCAGACTCTTGCTTTGTAGTAAGAAAAAAAAAAATCCTGTTGTCCTACCATCTCTCCTCTACAATGCATGATGGAATCCAGAGTCACAAACTGCCACGACTTCACAGGCAAAGGGCACATCCTAAAGCAGTTCATTTCATGTCTTCCTGACACCCCACGGGCAGCTTTTTTCCCTAAAGCAAAGAACCTCACAACATCATTTTGTGTAACATTCTTTACATATTTTGACTCACACTCCCAAAGCATATTTATATCACTCAGACTGTGCACATGCGGGTTTTGGGGGATTGTTGAGGTTTAGAATTTTTCAGCTTTTTCCTCAGCTTGATATTCTGCACTCTTCCTGGAGCTTTCTGATTAAAGATTCTGCTTTGTAATGAAAGCAAACCAAGTACTTCAATGTTGAAAGAAAGAGCAAAAAGAGGCAGTCAAAACATGTGGTGATTCTTATTTTTCCTTTCAAGAGTGACAAAACAGCATATGCAATTCAATACCCAGGATCAGTTAATTTTATCTGAAAAAGAAGCTTTTGCAAGTTAACATTTGCTATGATTATCACCCACATAATGCTCATTTCCTGTGCAAAGCCACCGTGGTGCCCACGTGAGTCACCTTCATACTTTGGGAATATGGGCACGGGGCAAGGTAGGTCACCAGTTTTCACAGCCTTTGTTTTATTTTACAATACATTCACGATTCTCTGTACTTTCAATGGCAAATACATCATGCTTGATTGGCAATGCTGGTATCTGATATTCCACGATTACCTTGGCTTGCAAGTGAGACAGTAATGCACATTCGTGTTACTCTCCCTTTAATGTAGTACAAAGCCGGACAGAGCTCAGAAAGAAACCCCTAAAATCCATTACCTATTTATGATCATGTACAAACGGATATTTATCATGTTAAAAGAGAACCATATGTTAAAGTGGAGGCTAGAGCCCAATAAATCTTTTTGGATGAAAACCCTTTTCAAAAAAAGGAATAAAATAATTAACATTTGCTTTTGCCAGCAGAAACATTTGCTCATGAATCTCCTGGGAAGGGAAGGGCATTTAACCTTTTTACATGCCATCCCCTCAGACATCTCTGACCCCACTGCAAAAGAGACAACAAAGATTCCCGACTCCATGCTGCTGATTAAACCCCTTGTAAGAAACATCTGGATGAAATTTTCTTGGCAGTCGATTTGAAAAGTACACAAGAAGCAGAACTAGGGAGCAGCCATAGTTCAGCCGAGTGACACAAAGATGATGCTATGCAAAAGCAGACTTTTCCTTGAGCACATTAACTCCTGAATATTAGCCTGAGACTGTGCAAGCAACCTCATTAGCAGAAGAAAAATAAATCCCTCTTCTACTCTGTGTGCCAGTGTAGAGAAGGCAAACAGGCTTTGGAAAAAAGCCAACTCAACAAATTTGTTTCTTTTAATAAAATAACAAAGGGTTTAAATAGTTTACCTGCCTAATACTTAACTTCAGCTGACAGGTAAGAGAGAAGTTGTCAGTCGCCTTAACTTCCAAAAACCATTAAATTTTTGAAGGATTTCGAAACTTCTGTGGTTTCTGAGAAACTCCCCAACACCCTGGATGTAATGCTTTCCTACTTACTGTCTCAGACCATACAGCCCCGGCCTAAATTAGCAAAAATAACCTCTAATTTTCATAGCCTGACATTCAAAATAAAGGAAATCCTGGCCCTCTGCTGCTTGAGTTTAAAGAGCCTGTCAATGCAGCTCAAAAGATTGTTCCCTTTTGGAAATACAGACCCTGGAACTCTCACAGTTTTCCCTATTTACAACAGGCCTAAAAGTGAGAAATTTTCACTGTTGCTATTAATTGAGTAGCACCAGTGAAAAACCTACATGAACCAGGCCAACTTTACTCTGCAGCTGCTATGTTGGGAAAACAAACAAACAAAAAGAAGCAGCGGCAGAAAAAGCATCTGAGTCTGGCACAAAGGTGCAAAAAAAAAGGAAAGCAGCGAGGAACCTTCTGCCCCACAGCTGCCAGGCTAGGAAAATTCCAGAAGGAACACACAGAGACACTTCGTCTTTTCCAGAAGCCAAGGTGTAGAGTGCTCAGACTCCACCAGAATTACTCTGACACATAAAAATGAAAGCTTCAGCACTGCCCAGGGCTACGTTTACTGTAATCGTGAAAAACTTCATGGGGGATGGAAAGGACTTTAAACTTTTCATTTGGGACACTGCTATAAAGCAGATTATCAGTGTGTGTTTAAACTTGCCTGGTAAATATTTTTAAGTCATAAAGAAATTAACACGTAGAAACAAAATCTGGTCTAAACATTTTATCTCCCATCCAAAGTTCACATTCTAATGCACCCCTACTGATTTTTGCTACACCACCTCGATCCCAATAGATCTAAAAGAGGGGCACCTATTCAAACTGGTACTGCTATCACTTTCTGACTAAATGAACTTATCCACAAACACCTTGTTATATAGAATTGTTTAGGTTGGAAAAGACCTCTAAGATCATCAGGTACAACTGTTAACCCAGCACTGCCGCGTTCACTGCTAAACTGTGTCGCTAAGTGCTACATCCACATGTTTAAACACTTCCAGGGATGTTGATTCCAACACTTCCCTGGGCAGCCTGTTCCATTGTCTGACCACCCTTTCAGAGAATAAATTTTTTCCTAATATCTAATCTAAACCTCCACTGGCGGAGGCAGTCCTTGAAATATGGGAAAAAATATGTCAGATAAAAGAAATTTCAGCATGGGACAAGAACAGCCATCTGGAATGCAGACCAGAAATACAATCACTGAAGTGTAGCAGTAAGAATTAAGTTTGAAGCTTAATTCTGAAGTGTTTCTTCTATCAAAATAAATAAAATATTGCAAATCTTTTGTACCACATTGTAATACCACTGGAATGGTAATGAATGAATAAAATCAGAAAAGAGGTTTATAGAATCCAAAGTAAAATGCAATATTCATCAGTAATAGTGGAAATAAGAAGCTGTCATGTAGAACATCTACATGTGACAGCCACACCACTTGTCCAGGCAGGAGGTGACACAGATGCAGATTTTAGGACAGCCATCTGCCAGGCCTGCCATTTTAACTCCAGCCAGTTGAACTCATGGCTAAGAGAAATACTTTAAGACTCCTGCATCAAGGGAAAATCTGCAATTTTGTTACAACCCTTCCACGTAACCAGTGAATGCTTTGCAACTCCCTCTGCACATTTGGTCTGCACCAAACAGGAAGATGCTGCAATATTCTGAATCCAGCAATGTGTGTGAAACCAACGAACAGTTAAACCGAGCAGTAGAAAGCAGGTGACTGGAAAACATGGAACCAAGGCTTACAGTGTATCGAGAAATGTCCTTACACTTAAAAAATTATAATGCACTCCAAAATCCATTTGTTCAGGCAATCCATGTACAACAGAAGGCACTGTTATCCATATGAATCTATCAATTCTGCACAGCAAAAACCTGAGAAGTGCAACTCAATTAGATGCAGCCTGGCCCCTCCCAGTCATTCAGGTTCCTTGAGGACAAACGTTTCCTTTCAGTCCATCAAATTATAAAAACACCACAAAAATTTGTACATTACAGTAGCTGGTTAGAAAGAGCATTCTGGTGGGGGAAGCACACTGCTAATTTCCAGAAAACCTTCAGCAGCATTAAATTACCCTCCCCTATCACCCAGAAGTCACGATGATTTCAAGAAAATGTAATGATGAGACCATTCCCATTGACCTTTGTAGCTGATCCTTCAGTTGCCACCGGGAGTACTTCCAGCAAAGTTAAATGATGTGATCAGTCCTTTGTTGTCAAATGTGTATCCACTTTGTTGTTCTATTGTCTTATTCTCTAGAATTCAAACAAGAAAAATAATATGAAAAATGGTCTATAGAGAACACCTTTGCCAGACACAACACAGCTCACTAGCTAAGAATGCGAAGCTGTGGAAAAAACTCTCAGTTGAGTCCAAATTTCATTCCCTAAATGCAGTGACAGGAATAAATTACACTCAGATTTTCTCTAAATGCATAAATGTGCACACCTCTACAACCGAGCTGAGAAATTAATCCTCTGCAGAATCAGTCTGTTACACTGTTCTGCATTCCTTTTGATTAAACTTGAATTTATTTTCCAGGATGCAAGCTTTCCACACATCTAAAACCTCACACTGACAGCAATGTTAGCAGTTAAAAAGTTACAAAACTGTTAAACACATTATGATCGACAGCAATCTTCATCAAATGCCTGGCTGACAGCTAGATATCACCTTAATGCGCTCTTGTGCAAAACTAGTTCAGACCCTGTTCAAACAGCAGCACGAGAAGGCAATTAATTAGAAGCAACAGTGCTCTCTGAATAACACACACTTCCAGGCAAGCAATAATGTGAGCATAACATCCTACTCACGCTTCTTGGAAAATGGTAATTAGCACAGAGGTCTATTCTCTTTGTTGCTACAGATCAGATGCAGTTCCAACATCCCTGCAACACATAAAATGGCCCCAGAGAAGTGACTCACCTGCAGCAGTTCGCCGGTGTTCTGCTAATGTATAAATTTCCTGCAGCTGTTTCTTCTGATCCTCACTCAGCGGTGCTGTCAGGGAATGGTACCAGGCTGCATCCCGGCTCTGCACCGCTGTCACAACAGGGGGGGATGAAAAGTGATTGTCAGGCACAACAGAATGAAACACGTGGAATTTCTGGTTGGTTTTAAAACAGAACCTGCACCGCAAAACAGGCTCAAGTATTCCTGTCGGTTTTCTTAGCACAGAAGCCCCACTCTAACAGAGGCAATCCATTTTGGGGGAACTTAATTACATCCTCTCCTTTCTGGAACAGAGAGTTAGCCATGTGGCCATTACTCATGGACAATGTGAGCTGAATATTCTAATTGAAAATTCATATGAAAACTAAAAGCAACAGCATAATTTCTCCATTATGATTTCAACACCTAGAAGGTGACAAATATTTCTACATATGGGAGTCCCTCTAGTGACTGAGGCCCACTCAATTAGGCTGAGATCGAAAAGTTCTGAAGGAGAACATGCAGAGAATTAATTTCTGGATATATTTGCTACCGTTTGTTTTTTCAGCACTAGTAAGCCAAAAAAATCTTAGCACTGGCATTAGAAAGCAAGACCATATTTTCCAGTTTCAGTTATCTAAATTATTTCTTGTAACAAAGAAAAGGGGTTTTAACGGTGGTGACCATAAACATCTCCAAATGATTTCATCTTACATCATCCTGCCAATCAGAAAACACGTACTTAGAAGTGCTTGTGTAAAAAACTGGTATTCATCAACACCATTTTCAAGGTCAAGAGGTGTGCTGAACCCTTCAAGAGCAGTCTCTTCCAATGCATCTTCATCCCAGTCATCGTCATCATCATCATCTTCATCCTCTTCCTCTACACCTCCACCACCACCTCCTCCTTCTCCACCATGGTTGTCTTGCATCGCTTGGCTCACCTCATTTGTCTCATCCTCATCACTCGGTATCTCTTCTGGAAAAGCAGTGATATACTTTGTAAAACGAAGTTTAAAAACTATAAGGAAACAATGACTTAAAAATCAAAACCAATTAATAAATCTAGGTTTTGGTTGGAAAGGGGACTCTCTGTTAATACCCTTCCCCCAAAATCTCAAAAGTCCTGGAAAAATGAAGCTGTTAGAATGTTTCCTATATTCCAGATCAGTTAAACTTTTGTTTCTATGCAGACCTGAGAAATGTGAAACTGCCATCTTTCTTCTTCTTTCATTTATGCAGTCACTGTGCAATTACAGGATCCAAACATTTTGAGGAAATGTCTTCGATGAAGTGGTCCTTCACTGTGCTTTTTAAATTACAGAGACCTCACAAATAGACACAAAACCATGAGAAAACCAGCTGCAGACCAATTGTGTGCCTGTTATTCTTCAGAGTGCTCCCTTATTTGAGCAAATTTAAACCAGCACCTCTTGTTTTTCTTTACCTTCCATTCCACTTAGAAACTATTACACCCTGAATTAAATGCAACTACAACATGAGATTCTAAATGCTACTTCTTACTTAAGGAAAAGTATTTCTGACTTATAATCAAGATGGAAAAATTACCCCCCACACCAATTCCAAACCTTTAGCTTTTCCTCGGTTAACAGTTTAGAAAGACTAAAGATGACTACATATGCAGCAAGCAGGGACTAAATCACAGGAGAGAGATTTGAAAATGAGTGTGCTTTCTCCATGCTGTATTCCTATATGTCGAGAAGAATTCTGTGATTCCACTACAGAAAAATCACGTGTGAAATTTCAGCGGATCACGTACTCTGCTCACGTCCAATCTAATTTTCAGACCTCAATCTAATTTTCAGACCTCCAACCCTCTATCTACTATTCCACGCCAAACAGATTTTCCTGCAACGCTGTGTATGATTCCTCCCCACAATTCCCTCTGTAAGACATTCTGGGGTGTTTTTTCTTTTCTGGCAGTTAGGGGCCTGTCTACTCAAGGAAACTCAGCTCTCTCAAACACTGTGTTGCAAACAACTTTCCATTTGGACAAACAGGCCCTGCTAGGATTTCCTTTGAAATTCAACCAAACATGGTTTTCAAGTAGTTGGGTACTAGGAACAGCTTCTTTCCAGGGAGTAAGAATATAACCAGTGGAGCCCTGGCAAGCTGGAAGAGTGTGGACTTGCAAGTTACCCTTAAACCAATACTACCCTTTCACAAAACATTAGCTGTCATACATTCAAACGTTTTCAATACATTTTGGCAAGAAAAATCAATTCCTAAGATGACCTTTCAAGCACCCAGTAAGCCGAGCTATTTTCAGCAGACTAATGAGTCTTAAAAACAAACTGCAATTTCTTACCCCCTTTAAATTAAATCCAGACAAAATCCACAATGTGAAAAGGGGAGATTTTACCATTATCTTCTGCAACGTGTTTTTCATCTTTAGCATGATCCTCCTGTTCTGTGAGTTCTCGTGAGGCGCAAACTTGTTTTAAGCCCAAGAAGAGGAGGAGGATTGAAGGAACAATCTGGGCAGCCACAGCATCCACTGCAGGTGGTCGGTTCTGCAATTCCATTAGGATGCTCAGTCCTATTATACACATCTTTCTGTCATGGAGTCTGAAAAAAACCACACTTGTTAGAAAAAAAAAAACAACAAGATTTTCACTGCAAGCATATTCAGAGAGGATTAAAATTCTAGTGCTGGACATAGGAGGCTACGTTTAAAGTCTATTTTCAAAGCTTCTAAACAAACTATTTCCTTTGTTCTGAAACAAGTTCCCCACTGGAAAGTACTTGTCCAATAACAATTAAACACCTTTCAAGCACTGGTCAAACTCCTGGAGCAACTGTTTCTGATTACCAAATGCAAAATTTGTAATGCTAAATAAATACTGTTTAATAATTATGTAGACTAACTTGTCTTTAATAAAGCATTTGATACAGATTATCATAATTAAGTAGGATGGAAAATTAATTTGCCTTGGTTTCGACAGCAGTGCCATTGCAGGGATTGAAATTGGCAAAAAGACTATTAATGAAGAGTAACGATAAGCAGGAATGCACTGAATCGCAGGGTGCATTTATGGAGAGCCCCAGGGCTAGCTGAATTTAAACACACTTATTAAAAGTCCATCAGAATTGTTGTATTATACATCCAATTTCTGATGCTAACTTGAGACACATAGCTAACTCTGGTGAAAGCAGGGAAATAATTCCACCATATCAAGAATAACTGGCAGTATACTCAAGTTAGGAACTTGCAAATGAGCAGATCTCCAGTAAAATGAACTATAGATAATTGAAGGGAAAGAAAATCATTAAATTAGTAGAAGAAAGATTTTTATGTGACCAGAGTCAGGAAACCAGGTAAGAGCCCATGCTTTTAAACAAAAGAATTGATTTACACTTCCAGAAACAGAAGTTTCTGCAAACAAGACAGAAAAGGCCTGCAACTGCCTCTGCAGATACCTTTTGGTTCTCCTTCACTGGAAACATCAGTAGTATTCAACTCGGGGCTAAAATAACAGTATTCTGCAACTGGGGCCTTGAGAGGAGTTTGTTTTCTTTGAACTATTCAATTTGATGCTGACAGCTTCTGTTCAAGCCTTCTGCAAGACAAGTAATGCCAGCAAGACCTACAGAAACCAAGCAAACCTCCAGAGCTGGCAGAAGACGGCCATCCTCTACACTCTTGGTAGATACTTCCATTACTGAATCAGTTTTACTTTGAAATGAAGAGAATACAACTTGAGAGAGGAGAAACTCATCTGATGGGCAACCCAGACTGCAATAAAGCTAACAGGAGTACAACCAGCTCAATCCACCACTTCAAAAACTGCTACAGAAATACAGTTTTTTAAGTGCTTACAATTTCATTACCAAAGTTGCTATATAACATGCTACTGAACTATTATATCCTTTAAGCAACACAAGTGATGCTGTATTACAGCTTTCTAAACTTTACTTATGCTTAAACAAGCCTGGAAATCTGGAGGGATTTCACTGTACCTCCCACGTTGTTAGTCCTGTTAGAGTTCACTCAAGTGATTCATTCTCAAGAGTAGCTGACAACAAAAATAAATTACATATGACCACGTGGAACATCATGATCACAGAAGACCTTCCAAGAAAAACAAAGTCAACAAGCATGTCAAATGGCACGCTTTGACACACTGGGGCTTGGCTGCTTCATTACACGTGTTGAAAAATGCAACCAAAGTGCATGTGGGCAAAGAGAGTCCTTCCATCACTGCTAACTGCAGTACTTTCTTCTCAGATGGAATGGGGCACAAAAGAGGGCATACAAACCAACCAAGGAAACTGAGAGAGAGGTGCATGGCCTGCTTTGTGAGAAAAAAAAACAACTAAATCCCTTACTTCTCTCAGCTGAAATTACTTACTCCTGTATGTTGGAAACAAGATCATCGCCATTTGCTCTCATGCCGGCACTTTGAAGACCAAAAACCAATCTAAAGATAATGCTACCTATGAACAAAGCATAGCTTTTTGGGGAGAGTTGTCCTTAGTGCAAGTACAAAGGAAAGAACTTTCTCTCCCTCCTCTCTCTGCCAGCACTGTCACTCCAGTGTGAGCAAAGCTCTGTAATCTATGCTCAAGACTTCTATCCTGAATCTTGACACAGGGAAGCCGTGAAATTCCTTCAAGATCCAAATGTACAATGAAGAAATTTCAGTCACACGCGCCAGAGTAGCCAGTGACACCACCTTTTATCACAGATTTGAAAAAGCCACTGTTGCACAACACCAGTTGCAAAATGCAACACAGTAAAATGTAAAAAAAATCTTAGTTATTAATGGCTTATCTCCATACTAAGTTATCTTTTTGGGACACCAAATGAAGCGCTGCAATCTGAAAGGGAGTCATCATTGGGAAGCAGCCCAAATGACCAAAACCCCCAATCGTATTTGTCATGCTCCATTTTAAACCTTCTAAACAGAGTTTTAAGAACAAGCACACGTCTCCAGAATATGCATGTTATTAGAAGGCCCAGCAGGACAGCAGAAATCCAGGCATCAAGCCACCTTTAGTAAACCTGAGCCAGAAGGAGACTTGTTTCTTTCACCTGCCAGCAGAGGCAAACAGCAGGAAAAGCATCTGTCTTGCCTGAAGTTCAGCATTCTGCTGTGCCCCAGCTCTATAAAGTGCCCACAGGACCAAACAAGCAAAACAGGGTTTTATGTCAGTTACATATTTTTGTAATGGCAAAACATGGTTTTCAGGACCACTCATTTGCCATCAAAAGGCTCATTATTTCAGCACCCTTCCATCTGCTCGAGGGAGCCTGGATATGGTTCTCCTTAGTGATTTGTGCTTTGAGATCTGTACCTATTTGCTCAGCAGCACACAACAGTCCTCCCTAACAATCATGGGCTCTGCTCATTCCTCAGTGGTGTATCCAGCCTGGAGTGTTAAACACACAACACACAGCAGTGCAACGCACGACTCCAAGCCAAGTCTATTTTTAACAAGCTGTGTGTGGTCTTCCTAATCTGCAGGACCTCTTCTTGCTAATACACTTCCTTCCAGCACAGGATAAAAAGCTTTTAGAATCTTTTTGTATTTTAAACCAAGCCGAAAGTACTTCAAAGAAAAATCACTAAGCCTTTCCTCTACTGGTTTGCCTTGTTCTTTTCTATTACAATCAATACAGTTCCTGGACACACTGCAAATAATTACCCTTCTAATTGCAAAGTTGGGACCAAATGAGACTGGGACTTTATATACAACTCTGAGAAAACTAGGATTTCTACTTTAACTCTTATCAAACAAATACCCCTATTCAGCTTCTAAAGAAAAAAAAAGAACCACTTATTGAGGTTTTTTTTGTAGCAAGTCCTTTCATCCTAGTTAACAGAGAAAAATTTTTAGTATGAAAGTAAGCATAAGTCATGCAGAAGTCTCACACAAACTTCAGCTGTCAGGGAAAAGGATAGAAAGCAAAGAAAGTAAGGAACAAATGTTTTTACAAATGGCTTTTCAGTTTGAAGTTCTTGTAAAAAACATTTAGAAATAAATAAATATCCTGTGGTATACAGGTATTACAGGCGCACAACCCAAGAAAGGCTTTCAAGAAAGTCAGATTTTGTTTGCTTTTCTGTCTTTTCCTGTTCAGTCAGGCCTCTGGATATCTGGCTCCTGTTCAGATGATGATCCCTAATACTCTTAAAAAACCAAATGATCTTCTAGAAGCTTTGCTGTCCTGAGGGAAAGGAAGGAAGCCCCTTACAGTGCATCACAGGCAGTACTATAGCAAAAGCCATACACCTGGAAGCCACATACTGAGGAGACAGCACTGAAGGAAGAGTGACTTTTAGATTTGAGCAGTATTACAGATAATTATTTCACTGCTGGTAGGAGTAGATCAAAGAGAGATTTTTAATCTGCTGCTGCCACTCAAGTGCAGAGTCTGAGCAGAATCTGGCATCATGATCATGTGTTTCATTTTCACAGGCTTTGTCAACTTGTGTCTTGGCTTCAAATAAGAGTTTAGTTGAGAGGCAGCTGCAGTAGCCAATGCTTTCTGAAAAGCAACATAGAAGAACCAAAAGTTAAGCTGTAACCCACAGGACTACTTGAGATTGAAGCCTAGTCAGACCCACAGCATTTGTGCCCTGTGAATCTAGACTAGTTTTTCACTGAATGCTCCAGGATGAACTGTTTCAGGCTATAAATCTCTTTCATTTTTTATTTCTTTTAAATAAGGAACAACAAGTTTACCACCTGTAAGGAATGCCTTCTTTCCTACTGTCTCTGTATGCATTCAACATTTGATATGTAGTAGAAAAAAATGACAGCACAGAGATGAATCTCAAGAACTTTGCTACAGCCATAAAAAAAAAAGTACAAGTTGGCAAAAATCCTAAAATATCTTGTTCTTTTCTAAAGTTGGTACATATAAAAATAATTCAGTAATTACCAATAAAATTACAACAAGGTGTAGGAAATAACTTAAAGGTGCTATTTTTCAGTTATTGACACTCCAAAAGAAATGAGGGACCGTTGGATCCTTTATGCCTTCTTTGTCACCAACTCATGGTGTATAAATATGTATATCTCACCCTTCTCATGGATAACACGCATTTCTGTTAAGATACAGACTGTACTGTAGAGATTTGTAGACATAGCAGATAGAAGATGTCAGAATGCTTGTGCTATTAAGAACGGTCCGGTTTTATCATAATGAATAAGACTTTTTCCCTAGTTTTTATCTGTTTAATTTACCAATTTATTTTTTTCCTTCAAGAAGAGACACCTTCAAATCCAGACACAAATGTGGAATCTGCAGAAAGACTGTATACACCAAAGCAGGCAATTTCTTTTGTATCTCTAAGTGGACTTCCTTCTAATAAACCAGACAGAATTAATGTGCAGAATTAATCTCTGAAATGAGAAAGTCTGTGCTCCAATGCTATAAAGTACTGTGCTTTCTCTGTCCCACCGAAATGTGTAATTAGGACAGAGAAGGGAGGAAAACAACTCTTACCATGAACATTTTGACATGTGTTTTAAAAATACAACAAAGGACACGCTGAGAACAAAACTCACATAAACCACTTGGCCAGTGATTGATTGGAAGCCACTATCCTATCAACAGTTATAGAAAAGGTAATGCACTGCTCTAATAAACCACACAGTTCTAAATTCAAGATGAATCCTGTGGCAATAATGCAGCCATATGAAGATAGCATTGTTCAGGAAAGATTAACTCAATTGGTATGATGAAAAGTTATTTGGACGACTGGGGAGTGAAGGAACTGTCCTATAAGAAGTCCCCTGAAGACTTGCTTAGAATTGGAGACACAAGGTTGTATCAATAAAAGAGAGGTAGGAAAAGAATGACAACCTAAAAGAGGGTTTGCACCTATGGGTCAGGAGTGGCCTGTGCTCATCCACGGCATGACTCCTAACACACACTTCATTTAGTCTGTTGGCACAGGCTTTGCACAGAGAAGAGAAGGCACGTTCTAAGCCTATCCATACACCTGCAGTCAGATGTCAGCCTCCAGTAACAAAACAAAACTCCAAGTCAGGAAGGTGAGAGGTAGCTGTTAACTACTTTTGACTGTCTGCTTTGCCCTTAAGTGCATTTGAATCTCACAGTTAGACTCCACATCTCAGCTGAGAAGGAACCACTAAGTGTCAAGCATTGGACTTCACCTCCGCTCAGCATCAAGTGCACACTTTGCTATCTGATGACAGGCTTTGTTCCCCTTCATTTACTTTACAAATGTTCAGCTCCTGCCCAAGTGCAACTAGTGCAGTGCACACACATGTTCAAGGGAGGCTAGAATGCAGTTTAAGTTCAGGAATATGCTAAACAGCCAGTACATCAATGGCAGAGTGATAAATATGCAAGGAGATCATGCATAACTCACAGATCAAAATCAGTGTGGGATTCACTGGGCAGAGTAATGTTTTTTAACATTAAGAGGAGCAGTTAAAACCAATTCACAAGATACAGAACAGAAAACATGTATTCAGTGCTTCAGATAAAAAGTTAACACGCTGCTGAAATCCTGCTGGTAAACTCTGAATACTCTGAAAAAACCCTCAATACTTGCCCAAAAAAACAGTCTGTGTCATTCATCCACTGGTTTATGAACTGTGCAGTGATGGGCTCAGGATTGTGTGGAAATCTGATGTTCTCCAAGGTGTGCAGAAGTAGGTCAGGATTGTAGTAGAGTGCAGCTATGGCAACTTGAAGACACATGGTACGGAGCTCACTTGTTTTAACTCCTCTGGTGAGTCGCTCCAGCACAGCCTCCACAAAGAGTGGAATGCACTGGGCAGAAAAAGGAGAAAAAAAGAAAAGGAAAAAAGAAAAAGAAAGCAGTCATTATACATGTTGCCAGATTATACAGAAGTTTTAAATACTTTTATCAGAATTGATGTCCAGAGTTAACTGAAGCCCAGGTACAATAACCTAGGAACACATTCATTCACTTCCTAGTATAAAAGCGTTTTTAGCCTCTGATCACATGCTTATAAATCAGCTCTTCCCTGAGCTAAAAACTGCAACGTTATTCTGAGCACAGAGGAGAATATATGGAACCATTTGGTGGAATTTGTTCTAGCATGAATAAAAGGTTTAGAAAAGAGCTCAAAGACATTCTCATCTTTAAATAAAGATACCCAACAACTTCAAAACTAACAGGCATTAAAAACTAAATTACCTAAATTTGCAAGTTTTTCCTAAATAATGTAAAGTGATGTTAAATTTCTTATAAAAGTTTTGACATGAGTGAGTTTATTCAGATAAAAATCAAGTATGCAGAAATTTCCAAGCAATGAAATACACATCTACTAAACACATATATATTTCAACATGCAATTTACACTTTATAAAAGTCTGGGAAGCATTATGAGCATTTTAGTTTATGCATTTCAGTTTTGTGAGCAACCATTTCAATTCAGAGAGTTGTACAGCTCAATTAAGCTTTCCACCATCCACTTATTTCAATGCAAATGCATTGAATTCACTTTAAACTCTTCCAGATTTCTTTTGAAAGAAAAATCTTTCAGGGGACGTTTTTATCTGCAACGACTTCAGATTTACATTTGTAAAGTTATGCTGGTTTCAGTAAAATTAACTGAAAATTTATCACCAAAGTCCATGGACTGCATTGGTGGCAACATCAAATATGATATGTCAAAGTAATTTAGGGTCATTATAAAAGCCCAGAATTTTGTCCCTAATAGAAAAAAAGACTCCTATCTAAAAGTGTGTTCTAAGAAACACTAGAAAACTTTGATTATGTTTTTCCCTGCAATCACAATCCAGCCACGATAAAAAAAGTCTGCATTTCTAAATGCACTAAGTAATTTACAACATCAAAAATTTCTATGGCTTGGAGAAACAACAGTAGTTGGATATGCATAGTTAAACTCTCAGCCACAATGGTTTTAACTATGTGTGTTTAGCATCAAAAGGCAAATTCTATTAGGAGAAAGCAAAAAAAAAAAAAGACAACGCTGAACAACATCCTATATCCTTAGCATTCAGTCTATATCCATTTTCTGGTCATGCCCATTAATATCTCATCTCAAAAACAAAACCCACAACCTTACAAACTCATTTACTTATTTCTGTATTTCTCTCCACTTAACAATTCCCTCAAATTCACCAATTCCAACTGTTTTTCTCAGGAACCATACATGGATGATTGGAACCAGTAAAAGAGAAAACCTGTTCAATGTACATCACCTGGTCAATACCCCGTCCTTTGCACTGAAGAACAATTACTTCCAGGAGCTTGGCTGCATGGCACTCTGCATCTTCTCCTGCATCTCCTGTTAGTACCTAACCACCAGAATGACAATTTATCAGTATTAATCACCAACAATACTGAAAGCAAGTGCTCCTGTACCTGCATACATCAAAAAATCTCTACACAGCATATACACATCTATTCATGCTACATTTTGGGAGGCATTAAGGCACAGGACATAAGCAAGGATAAGTGGCTAAAGGTGAACTTTAAGAAGTTAAAGAAATTGCTGCAGTTCTTTAAGAATGTTATATTATTTCTACATCGTCACTTTCTCTTCTTAAAACAGAAACGTTACTTAAAAGAATCACTGATGTTTTCCACATTGTTTCCATTGTTTCACTTCAATCCTAATAGTCACTGGCAAAGTCAAGTTCTGTTTCCAGGCTAGTTTCTGATTAAAAACAAGATGTATGCAATCATTCTGTGTGAAACTGAATGCTTTGTCTCAGTACACTTCAACAGCACGGTCAGTGTCAATCAAAAGTGACAAAGCAGCAGAATTCTCAAACATACTGAAATTCTCTAAGCTTAAAAATCAGCAGGTAGCTAGATGCCTAACACTCTATAATGCCCCAAATCAGAGGAGGACTGCAGCATGATCTCATACTTTATTATACATGAGAGACTCAGTATAAAGGAGAAACATGGTAAGTGTAGGAAAAACTTCAAGTGAGTTCGCACCTTAGCTGACAACCAGGGAGTCCAATTGCAAGATACACAACCCAAGGAAATCAGGCTTCATTAATTCCTCTACTTACCAAAATAGCTGTTCATAGAAGAGAGTCAAGACGAACAGCAACTTTCTCCCACACAGATTTGTGCATGTAATTTTTTAAAAGCATGCCACTTAAAAAGTGTGAAGGTTCTGTATGTGCTCAGAACTGAGCTGAGATCAAAATTCCCTTAGTTCTGAAATGCCTGGCCACCACCTGGCATGTTCAGGTCACTCTGCCAATCTGATTGTTAAGTACTAGTGATAAGCACAACAGTAAGAATCAGAAGCCTTACCTTTTTACACATGGCATAAATGATTTCTAAATGCTTTGGGTTAGACAGTAAGGTATCAGTGTCAATGGTCACATAATTATGCAAGAGAGGCATCATATCTGCAGAACAAGGAGAGCAAAAGAGAAAAAAGTTACAAACTAATCCAAGCAAGTGCTAACCAGTGAGGGTGGAGTCCTATAATGGAATTCATTGGCTTATATTCTTGGATACCACTGGAAATTCAAACTCTGCAAAAGTCTTTTCTCGAATTCTTCATGAAGTGCACCACGCAGGGTGCATTGTCAGAAGAGGAACTAGGACAGGAGACAACATTTTAACTAAGTTTAATTAATTTGCAGTTTTACATTAACTTTGAATATTTCAGCTTCCTTTGAGTTTAGGATCTCCTACAATAACTGATCACACTGACAGATTTGAACATGCTTCTCCTACTTAAATATGCTCCTGTTAAACTCCCACACTCAACAGACGGTCAGGGCATGACTCAAATACATGATCATTTTAAACCAAGACACTAAATGGAACCCCACTTATTAAGGTGGGGTTTGGAGATGAATTCTCAAACAGTGGAAACACAAGCAGAACAGAAGGGATCATACCTGCAAAGTATTCAAAGCAATCCTGTTGGAAAACCTCATACAAAACACCTAAAAGCTGCCACATCTGAGGTGAAATCATCTGGCATGTTAAGCTGAAGGCCAAGGAGAGAATTTCTTCATAAAACTCTGTAAAAAAGAATCAGTTTGAAGCAGGGTGCTTTAAAAAATAAATTTAACTTGCAAATGTCTTGAAACCTGAAACCAAGTCCTGAGTCACAGAACAACTAGAAGACAGCCATTAGAAACTAAATCATACATAGAAAAATAGTACAAATTGGAAAAGACTCTTTCAGAGAGGCCTCAGGTTGGCCACAGTTACAACAATATGCATAGGTTTCCACTATCAATATACACCAAAAAATATACCTCACCAGCACATCAAAGACAATGCTTTTAACCAATTACTGAAAAATATTTTATTTTCTCAGTCTTTGCATTTTTCTTAAAGGCCTTATCACAAAACTGTGTAACTCTTTAGTGCAGGGTACTGATAAAGCAGTCATTTAATTGTAGACCATGACTATAACAGACTACTGTAATTGTATACATAGTCCTTTAAGACAGTTAGCCAGAACTGTAATCAGAACTGCATTTTCTGCTTTTGAGTTTGACCTCCAAAACATAACAAACAAGTTGACTCATGTACAAGAGGAGATCAGGAGAAACAAATTATAACTGAAAATTAATGCCTTTTTTATTCTTTAAAGGAGTACACACACACAAAGATGAAATTCTGTTCTGGAAGATAGCAATAATATATTTACGTGTTTTTACATAAAAAAATTCTTCATGTTTTTTCTAAAAATTATCTCTAACACATACCTATGACATGTTTCTGCAAAACAAGGCCAATGATCTGTAAACAAATGCTCTCAAGCTGTTGAGTGATCTGAAATAAAAACATACAGCAGTTTATTAAAAAAATTAGAAATACAGTTAACTAAAAAGGTATTTGACTAATTCAGTTTGAGAAGTTCTTACAAAAAGGCTTCTATAATTTTTTAAATGCTGCATTAACAATCACAATATTATCAAATCAGGACTCACGGACGCAGAAAGAATTTCTTTTTTCCCCTGAATATATGAAATATAAACTTACATTGCACCACAACTGGGAGACTAATTCCTAGGAATACTGTCCAAGAAATTGCCTACAAATATGGGTCACCCATTGTAAAAAACTAGCCTTAGGCAAAACATTTCGCCTTAAATTCTATTTTAACCGTCTGTAATACAACTAGCCACTGTGAGGAAAATTAACTCTACCCCAGCCAAAATCAGCACATTCCAAAGAAGTGTTTACCCAAAAAAGTGCTAAGAATGTTACCCTCAGGTTGCAGATTCCCCTCGAAGTTGAGAGCTAAACAGCGAAGAAATCACAAAAGTAAACTGGGCTTTAAATTCAAATTTGTCACAGATTGACTGGTACCATCCTGTTACAGTAAATGCATGTTCATGTCAAGTGATGCAACATACATGGAAGTGCTTGTTATCGTGAGTGAAAGGCACGTGGAATTGGAGAAAAGTATGAAAGAAAATCTCACCTCCTTGTGATCTTCCACAACTGTCAGGATTGTGTCAATTGTGTGCAAGATGCCCATGGCCATAACTGTTTTGTCCTCTACTTCCTCATATTCCTCACTCTGAAGTACTTTACCAAATATTTCAGCCTGTGAACAAAACCAACCAACTTGACATTCAAGAGCAAACTCACATTTCTAATTCGGCATGCAAAGCCCAGACAGCTAATGCAACAGCAGCAATGCCTTATCTGTAAGAGCTGTCAGCACTGAAGAATATGCTCCTTACTTCTGAAAGGGGAATACAGAAAACTAAAATCTCCTTTTTTTTTTTTTTTATTTTTTTTCAGAAGTCTGACTATGTTAAGTCTTTTGAAATGTTAAATGGTTAGAGCTTGGCTCATTAAAAACAGTGACAAAATTCAGTAACTTTGAAAAACCTATAGGTTTTAAAGATGTTTCCCAGAGGAAAAAAAAAAAACAAACCAAACATAAATACTGTGAATACTATAGGTGGACAGACTCTTATAAAGATTACTTTGAACAGTGAGCACTTCAAACAAAGTTAATTAAATGTTTCCCAAACTAGACATGTGCTTCTGACTGGACTGTTGTTGGGCTATTGGCTCTTACCAGGTGTTGAGTCATGTCAACGGCGATCGTAGCCACTTCCTGACTGTACTCACAGATCATCTTCTGGATTACATTGGTAAGATCATCATTCTCCGTCTCTCTAACGATGTGCAGGAGCTCCTGCATAACTGGCCTCACATAAGGCTTCACATATTCCTTGGCTAAAAAAAAAACCCAAAAACCACAATTGAAACCAGGTGAAGTCAACTATCCATAAACAAAAATATACGGTATCTCAAAACTACCAGGTAACTGACTACTCGTGAACAAAATAGGTTTTTTAATTTGAATTAATTTGAAAAAAGAAATAAAAAAAGCCAAAAAACATACCCAAGGCGCTTTTACAGTTCTTAACTAGGAGACAAAGTAAATAAATTGTACAACACTGAAACGTCATCTTCAGCTAAAATCCAGATTTGAGGGAATACTTGCCCTCATATATAGGCAGCATTCATTCTTCAACATACACACAAAGAGAGGTGACATTTACTTTGTTAAAAGAAACATGCTGATTCTAACTTCTTTTATGCATAGACTGGCTATAAAAAGAAGAAGTCAGGATTTTGTGATGTATACAGTAACTAATGAGCAAGTGAAGCTGCCTAAACATGATGAAATGTTCTTAAACCCATGCCTTTAGATGGTAGAAATGTTTAGATAAATCCGCACCCACCTCCACATCTCTACAAAAAAACAAAAAAAATCAATAAATCAGTGTATACAGCTGATAAATCACTGTCACATACCCTGTTCTTGGTTGCTTATTAAGGTCTGAAGGGCTATGGCTGCTTCTACTTTGACAGGCATTTCCTTATCTTCAATCAGGCTCTTCTTTGTCAACTCTACTGCATTCCTCAAGTTTAACTCATTGTGAAATTTCAAAGCACTGAATGAATGAAGTACCCAACAGGACTACAAGACAAAAAAGAAAAGCAAGTTAGAGACTATTGCAATTTTTAAGCATTTTTTTAAGCGATTCAAAAACAACACTATCTCTCTGTTTCCATGTATTGCTTTTTTTCCCTTAATTACAGGGTATTCATACATTAAATGTAACAGGTTTTGCACTCAAGCAGTTCTTTGTCATCCTTTCCCAAATTCCAATAAATTCAGTGTGCACATAATTTACATTCATAGTTTTGGTCCTTCTGGGGGAAAAATCAGAAAAAAACCAGAGAAAATTAACTGTTTATGGTTGATATCAGGACCTGGGGATTTTGTTCAAGTTACACTCAATCTGACATTATCTACTCTGTGGAAATTCTACCTATTTTTCACAGGTGTTCAACAACTTTAGTTACTAAGATCTGCTAATGAAAAATGGCCACAGTCACTGCTTAAATTCTCCAGTTTGATTTAAGAAGTAAACAATAATACATCACAGCCTTTCCATCAATTGATTTAACTGTAAAACCATTTTTAAAATCAAAATGATGAAAAAATACTGTACGACAGTTTTATTTTAAAGTTTTACTATGCCTTTGCTTTATTTCTTTCATTGACATTGAGAATGAAATCGAAGTGCAAAGGAAGGAATCATGGAAAATACTGAAATTGATGTAGGAGGTGAACTTACTCTAGCTCTGAGGTACCCCAGGTTTGACATGAACAAGGGAAACACATGATTCTGTAACATCAGCTCCATCTGATCCTTGAAAACGCTCTTCTGTTGGTGCAAGCAAAAACTCATTTTGGAGACCATTCATTTTACATACTTCATCCCAGCCAATAATTAATTTCAGCTATCAACCATGGGAAAAACAATGATTTGTCTATACAATAAAGGTATTCCCTCAAACAGATCTGGATTTCATACTTTGAACAGAACAAACTCATAGCCATAGCAAGTTCAAAGCCAGGTAAGTGAAAGAACTGTAAATATATAATATCCAACTCGACATTATTCATTACAATGCTATAAACAGGAATTTTGATTTTATTTAAGGCAATTGATTCTAGTTGATTTTTCTTAAAAACTATTCAAGATAACTAACCTAGTACTTTCATTCTTCCTACAAAGGAGTACATACATATCTGAAGATAAATATCAGCTTAATATGAAACAGATCTGAGTTTCAAATGACCTACGGTTACTATAAGCATCAAAACTAATTATTTTGCACATTACAACAACAACAAATCACATCTTTTTTTCATGTTTATTAATGGGCAAAGACAATTCCTTTGTGACAAAAATCTCCTTAGTTAGAGAAGGATATTCGAGGAGTTATCCTTCATTTTTTCAACCTTGGCAAATCCTGGGATAATTCACAGGGAGCTACAACAACCAGCATGGAGATTTGGGACTTTCCTTATAGCCCCACACTACTAGAATAGATAATAGGCTGGGGTGTCACCACCTAAAGGAATGATTCACCAAGATAGGAAGTGGGTGAAATAGGACATTCAATACAACATGTATCTTAGGGAATCAGACTTTATTTCACCAGTGGATACAAAATTTTTTACCACACTCATTCCCCAAACCATCACAGAGGTGGATGAAGAACTGAGCAGAGAAAATACAGAGAGAAGGGGAAAGAATTTTCCCTCGTGCACACAGGTCAGAAGTTTGTGTGCATTCAACTGAAGTTGTGTGGAGAGCCAGGTGGCCAAGGCAGGGTCACTGTGTCTACAAGCTCTTCACAATCTCTATCTCAGTCAACTCAACAGCCAGAAAGCACTTACAAATCCAGTATTTTATGCAGAAAGAGTTGATGGAATTTTTCAACGTGCCAAATTCCAAACACAAGAAATTCAGATCTGAAAGGAGTCTGCAGTGTTTGGGGATTATTAAACTTTTATGAAGTATATTATAGCCTCATGTTCCAAGACTGAAAATTTCAAACAGGAGCAGAATACTGGAATAAATTCCCTTTTTTCCCCTCAGGAAAGAGACAAACAGGTTTAGAAACCCACAGTCAATATGAAAGTCTCCTCATAACACAAACAACATCTTCCTCTTTCACTGCTATGCTCCAGCATGAGAGAGGGCACCTACAATCCAAGATAATCTACAAAAATTCTTTAAAAGTTACTGATGTTTCAGGAATTAAGATCGAATCATAGATTGGTACATTGGTAAAAAAACAGACAGCAAATGTTGGTAAGATGTTGCTTGTGATATGAAGACATATCCTGCACAGAAAGACAACTCACATAAAATACAATAAACTACTTTTAAAAAGAAGCCTCCAGCACAAGGTCACCATTCTCATACTAAAAGTGATAATGTTTTGGCAGTTCTTTTGACATGTAACAAGGGCTGACTTTGGACTCCACCATCTACAAAAGCATAAGGGAAACTGTAATCAATGTTAATTGATTAAATGGATTAAATTTGTATTCAGATTCCAGAAAAGTACTCAAAATTCTGAAGATGTCTACAAAAAAAATGGAGAAAGACTCTGTGTTCTTCCCAGTTATTTTCAGAACTCCCAACTGGCTGATGAAAGAAGACTTAGAGCCACACATTGCAGAGTAAGAAAGTTGGAAAGCTAGACAAAACATTCCTGCAACATGAGAAGTAAACCTTTTTCTGGGACCAGAAGACGCCCACAACAGTGCAGGCTGTTGGGGAATTTGATAAAGAATCACAGGCAATGTTACTGATGGAGTGCATGTTTGCTTTTTTAACACTTCCATTTTCCTACTAAAGCAGGAGAGGACCAGGGGACTGTTGTACAGCAAGCAGAGCTTTGGAAAAACTTGAGAAGAAAAATCTGTGTATAAAATGGGGATATAAAAACCAGGAAAGAATGTTAATATTTTTAAATAAACAAACCCTCATGTTCTGATTGCACAGTGAAATCTCTCTACGGACTTTATAAATATGGCTAAGGGCTAGTCATACTTTAAAAACTATGACTTTTCTATTTTAAAATCACCATTGATAGTAAGAATTGCCAACCTTGTTCACTTCTTTACCCACCTACCTTCAGTAAAATATCTGCTAAGGATCCTATAACATGCAAAGCTCCATCTTTCTTCCTTGGATCAATGTTTGGCTCTGTCAGAATCTGGTAGCAATATGCCATCATTTTTGGTAATACCTGTGCAGGGCAGAAAACACACCATCTCCTTTTGTCAAATCATTTTAATAGTATTTTTTAAGTTAAAAAATTCATAAGACATTTATTAAGAAATTTTATCTTGGCCAAAGCAACTGTGAGGTACTATGTGTAACATCTTTCCACAGTTAAAATTTAGAAGGCTTCTTTTTCATCCTTTTAGCCAAACTTGTCAGAAATAATCTCCTTGAAATTTCACATTACTAGTAGTAAAGAAGGTATTTTCGTTATTGTCCTGAGGCAAATCAAAAAAGGTGATGAAAAAATCACGTGGCTCAAACTGTACCTCGTCCATTTTTTTTCCCCTTAACTTCCTCTCTGGCTTGTTGCACACATATATATTAAATAAATACCTATGTGTGTGTACATATATATATGAAGATACACATATATTGAAGAAGAGTGGGCTAAAACCTCACAAACTTAATTTGATCTATTGATTTTGGCAGTAGCTTCTGAAGTTGACTAGACTTACAACGGTTTCTTGGTAAAACTAACCGTTAAATACAATTTCCATGCCCGCTATGCCCTTTTCCGATATTACGAAATTTTGATGGTCTCAATACCAATCATGAAAATGAGAAGGAAGGTCAGTGGGCAAGAACTGTTTTGACAGTAAAGAAGTAGAAAGGTCACGTTCCACCTATGTTCTTCTTTGAAGATCCATATGGAAATGGAGCTCCCTGTTTACTGGATGTTAAAATGGTACCCAGAAAAACACTTGCCTGGGTACTTTTGCACAGATCACTGTAAATACAGAAAGTCCTACACAACAGTTATGTCCTCATTTAAAAAGTAACTGCATGAAATGGGTTTCACTCTTGCTAATTTCATTGCTGTCAACAGGATTTTAAATAGCATCAGCGAAAATTAATAAGGATCATGTTCACTTTTTCCCCTGTTACAGTTTGTGACACTCAGAACAGCCATGACAGAAGCTGTTTGTAAACTTGGGAAAAATCTATTCCAGTACATCTATTTCAACTCAGTTTCTATCTGGCAGATTAATTTTAAAGCTGCAAGAGGAAGACATTTATTTAAACATATACACACATATTTTAATCCTCCCAAAATTGATAGCACTCAGCCAGGAAACATTTGATTATGTATTATCAAATAGATTTTTCAGAACTAGTTTCCTGTGGTATCTTCAAATTTAAGGGAAAAATAACATTATAAGGAAAATTCAAACAAATAAAAGTCTCTAGTTTCATACCTCTTTTCTCTTCTTTGCAGCAGTATAAAGGAGATTCTGTGCTGCTGTCGTAGTGGATGCATAATCCTCAAATACATCTAAAAAGTTGGAGGGGAAAAAGCATAACAAAAAAAATTTTCCTTTCTGAATGATGAATTTTTTTATAGACCATCTTGTTTTTGAGGTATCACAAATTCAGGGTGAATATATAACCTCAAAACTATTGACATGGTTGTCTTCACTTCCTGGATAGTCAGACCCAAGCTTATGTCACATAGTTAATAAAAGCATTTACTTTTTGCCTTCCAAATCTACTGCCACTCATCACTCCCTTTATTAAGAATGTGTTATTTATTCATTAACTCTTTTGAGACCACGTATATAAGGAATGAAAAATCCTGCCTCTTTTTTTAATTACAGCCCTTACAGAAAGAACAACAGTACATTCCAGTACCATCTGTATACCATATGGACACATTTTTGGCTTGATTAAAACCTCATGGGAAACCTTTTGTATGTAAAAGTACTTGGATATGGGGTAGTTTTATATCTGCTGAAAGTTGAAGCTTTTTAGCTTCATTCATTACAAGTAAACCTCCTTTAATCTTACTGAAAATACAATTTCTATCTTGGAAAAAATATCTGTGCTGCACACATGTTCTAATCCAAATATCCCTACACAAATTAAACTAAAAGATCTAAAAATGTAATCTCAAAAAGTGACTAAAATTACACAATAACTTTTCCTGAAAACTTGAAGATAAAACAGCATTAATAAATGGTACCAGACTACTGGAATTCTTGTTCCATGGTAAAAAGTGCCTCACTAACCTTCCATTTAATGTACTTTGATACTTGGGGTTTTTTTGCCTTTCATGATAAAATTTAAATCTGCATTTAACTTCCTCAGCTACATATAAAAATAAGATTTGCTGCTTGCACAGAAAGAACTGAATTCACACACCAAAAATCCATGATGTATTTGTACCCCAGTGATCAATGTTATATTGTAATTAATTTGTTGCATAACAAGTCCCCAAGCTTTTTTAATTATTCTATGAATATTTAAATTGTTTTCATATATGCTAATCCCAAATCAACTAATTAAAAATTCCCAAATGCTATATATCTCTCTCTCTGGTGCCTGGTTTGCAGGAGTTTTCCAGCTAAAACTGCTGTATTTTTAAAATATCCTTCTCTTTTTCAATGACATGACTCTTTTGATAAAAGTAATTATTCATAATATGGCTTTATGTGATATTCCCAAGCTTCTGCACTGAGTCTTTTGAAAGAACATATATATCTAATTATCTTACAATCTACTAATAATAATTGGCAAAAAAATGCTGAAGGCACTGACAATTTTCAATAGACAAAGAGCAAGTCAGGCCTCTTCTGGTCAAAGTGAGAGCTGCAAGGACTTGCAGACAGCTGGCACATCTGCAATTCAGGATGCTGAACCTGGCATTAACAAGTGAGCGAGCCAGTCTATTTGGGCTGCTCTGAGCACACGTGAAGTAGAAAAAAAACGCTGAGAGAATCATTTAAAGCCAGCAGCCAAACAGCTCAAACTCACTTGATCTGCCACCTGCTCTGAACTACACATTGGTGAGATTCTGGTTTTGTTTTCTTCTTCCTATTGTTCAGGACACTGGTGGTGAAGACAGAGACATTACAGCAGGCACGAAGAGGGTTTGGAACTACAGTTACAGGTATGATGGAAGGAAAAAGTAATGCGAAATTACCAAATTTCATGCGGATATATTCATAGGGATCCTCTTGCCAGAGCTCTTCGTCCTCATCTTTGTAGCACATTAGAGAGAATATCACCTCTTCTGTTATACTCTAATTTTAGAAAAGTCAAATACACATAAGTACACATAAAATCAAACTCCAGCACAGCTTCCCTCCACCATGCACTAATTTATTACTTTTTTTCTGAAGAGCAGTATTCCTTTAAGCAGTGCTCTTTTATTTTGTCTAACAGAAACAAACTTACAGTATTATAAGTAATTTCCTTTTGCAACAGTCCCAGACAGCAGCAGTAATTACATAATCTATCTTTACAATAATACACTACCACACACAAAATAATACTTCAGGACATAAACAGCAGAACATTGCATTCTGCACAAGGACCTTACCAATGCAATACTTAACATGAAAACAGATTTCAGAGTCCTTTCTCTTTACAGTCATGGAATTAACAAGCTACAACAGGGGAGCTTATGATATGAAAAAATAAGAGCAGGAAATCATTTTTCATTTGTTCTTAGTTCACCTATAAAACACATCCTTAAAACAGAGTTCAGGTCTTTTAGGTCCATGTTTTCTTTGTGCACTATCTTTGCACTACAATCAAATGTGAATTTCCCAGATCTGCAGACAACTAGCAACTCATAAAAGGCAGAACATTATGACTATCTAGCAGACTTCAAAAATAAAAATAATTAACTTACAGAACAGAATCTTTGGTTAAGAGTACTTGCAATAAAAGGTAGTCGTAATACTGAAAAAAACACCCAAATTTGTGTAGAAATGCTATTTTTTTTTCCAAATCAGTTGCTGAATGATTCATGAAACCTTGTATAAAACTGCAAAACTGGTGAGGGGTTTGTTTGTGGTTTTTTTTATAATCACTCTGACGTGCAGTGTTTATGGCTGGGTTTTATGCACTGACCTGTATGTGTGGCTTCATTTGCTTCCATGTAACAGAGTGAATAACCCCTTGGTTCAGATAATTTAACGTTTGCTGAAGAACACGTGGTGCAACGTAGTCTTTTTGCCTGTACTGGTCTAAGATTCTTAATAGAACCTAAAGAAATGACAAATTGGTATTTTAAATTAAGACTGAAAATTCTGTCTCATGCATAGACATCCAGTGCATCTCTTCAGTAAATATACATGAACAGATAAATTAGTTTTATAGCAGAGGTTCTAGAGTCAGAAGTCACTATTACGCCTTTGATCCAAAAATCATAAATCATTTAAATATCAAAGTTCTAATCCTGCAAACATTTATGTACATACATGCCCACCTTTACTGCTAGCCCTACCATGTGATCACTTGTGATTATAAACAGAAGATATACTTCAGTATTCAGAGGCTCACAGTTTACAGAGGCCTCAGCAAAATATGGAATAGATAAGGAAAAGGCACAGTGAGATTGTCAAACTGGTGGCTTCTACATCTGCTAAGTGGTGTCTGTGTTCATATTTAAGGACAGACCTCTAAAGAAGACAAATTACTTTGGAAGAAGAGTGAGAAGAATAGAAATACCAAACTAGGAAAGAAAAATAGGTTCACCTAAATCTGTGAATCAGAACAGATGCAAAACTTTTAACTTCAATTACCTGTTGTAATCACCAGACAGTATCACTTATCATGCTATTACAAACTCTATCACATAAAGCTTCCTTAATATAAAACTCTGTTCTACTAAGAAGACCTCACAGTACAAAGCCACCAATCTGTACTAATGGCAGATGAATTATTAGCAGGTCTAAAGAACTGGCATGTAAATGAATAACAATAAAAATCAAGGGCAATGCATAACAAAATACTGAGTCATATACTTCCAGCAGAACAATTCTGCTTCATAATTCTTCAGAACATTTTAATAAATTTTATTTTGAATACAGTTCCTTCATTAGGAATACTAAGTCTGATCTTAAGTCTTTTATATGACACTCTTCTTGGACAAGAATTGTCTATATCTTATACAGACTCGAGTAAAATGTCAGCACTTAACTGGTGAATAAGTAACGAAGGCTTACTAATGTAATATTCACAACAGAATTCTTATGAACTCTGCAAGGAAATCTGACAAATCACCATTTAAGAATCAGAAATTGAAGAAATGTGCAGATCGTCCAGTCCATTTATCTTGAAAGCTAAATTGTCCCTTCTGCAAGGTAGCTTAATACCTTAACAAACTTTAGGTATTTCAAATTATAACTGCCCTAGGAGTCCACTTGTCCACTCGGGAGTGACATTGCAAGGAATTTAGAATAGATATCAGGCTCTTTCCCTTTTCATTAAATTCACAGCCTTACCACAACCATTCCTCTTCTTAGTTCTTACTGATGGATGAACTATTCTGTTGTCAAACTGGATGGGAAAAAGTAATTTTGTTTTGCAGACAATCCTGGTGTTTTGAAATCTAGTTTAAATTCGACTTCAAGTGACAACAACAGCCTGGCACCCTGCATCAAAGACCCCACAAATTTAAACTGTAAGAAGCCTGCAGATGCCATGTCAAGGATATTTCATCTGGCAGCCTGCTAAGGAGCCACATATTCAGGAAATATGAATTATCCAAATACTTGTCACTTGAAAAAGTGCATTCCTGGGTGTTTTGCAAGGTTTACAGACCAAAGAAAATCACGAGCAGGAGAGTGCCCTGCATTCTCTTGGTTTCTTAGTGGTGTGTTTTGAATATGTAACCCAAAAGCCTGGACAGTCAAGAGCTTCAGTGAGCCAAAGGCATGGGAACTACTGCTCCCAGTCATCCAGTATATGGCAGGCTGAATGAGAAACAGGAGCTGGGCCAAAAACGTGTGAGCTTGGGAGCCAGCACTCTCAGGCTTTCAAGCACCCAGTATCCACAGCCATTGTACCACAAGCAGGGAGATGCTGGAAGCCTGTGTTCCCAGGGTCCCACAGTTGAGCTGGCAGAGAAACACAGACGACTCTGAAAGGAACTGCCTCTCTTCTATGCAACTTTATCAGAATAGAACTGTCTCCACACAAATAATTAGCACTCCCCAACAAAAAAAATTTCCTTGGAAACTGTGAATTTATGTTATATTTTCATATAACGTGCTTTCCAGGTATAAAATAACTTTCATTGCTGTTCTCCAGACATCTTCTAATCTGCTTGTATCTTCCTGAAATAAAACAGTATCCCTGGATTACCACGTTAAGTAGTTTGCAGGAAAAGCACTTAGTAAAAACTGGCCTGAAAATACACCCTTCTATGAAGTGAGACCTCTGCATCAAGTTTTTCTCTCAGCTATATCAAGAATGTTTATTCATGATGATAACATTTTATCAGCACTCGCTTTTTCTGGGAATTTTCCTGCAGAGGTTTTCGAATTGCTGAAAATTTGTGTTATTGCACCTCAGTTGTATGGCACGGAGTTCTACAGAACTTCTCCATCTCTAAAAGGAAAACCTGCCTGACTCCCTTCAGTTTTGTTTAATGAATGAACTTTGATACAAGTGCACTGTTAAAAAGTAATACATTTCTTCAGCCAAAATGATGCAATTCACAAAAATGAACTGTGCTTACCTGTTGTATGCCCACAGCGTAGGTTTTTAAAAAGAAGTCTGAGAATTCAAAGTATTCTTTAGTTACATTTCCAGGACTTCCATACCTTTAAAAAGAAAAGGACACAGATATTTACACTGTGAAAAGTCTACTGTGTCAAGAAAACACAGTATTTTCTAAACCACAGAGGGTCCTGCATCAGCAAAGGAAACCTTTCCCACAGGTTCCTTCCAAGCCATCATTTCCCTTACAACGCCCCACTCCCCTTTTTTAATTATCATCAGGTACAATATTACAGTCTATAAGTATCGCTGACCTTTTGTCACAAGTTCTGTAACTTCCACGTTTATGGATTTCTCTTCAAATCTTCCCCTGCCTTTATATTTGAGAACATAAACAGTTGTAGTTGGATATAGTAAAATAGGTTGACTGGTTTGCTTTTTCTGTGGGGCGAGTTTCTTGCCATTTTAGAGAGTCAAATCATTTCCCTAAGAGCTCAGAACAGTGGCTATGCCAGTGCAAGGCACAGGACAGCAGCAGGAAAACCTCTTCAGTGACCACGTGCTGCTACACTGATTAAACTGTCTTGCTTAATTGCACACCAAGTAAGGGTACAGATTTGTAACCCAAGGGTTTTAATCAGTTTGTTACCGTTCAAAGAGACGAGCTACAATGTGCAATGCCCACTTCTTGCACTTCCACCACACCAGCTCTGGTCTATCATCTTCATCAATTTGCAAAGTCTCCTACAAATAAATGTATTTGTTTTAAATTAGTAGTGTGATTTGTTGGGATCAACTATGCTTTAAACATCCCTCGCTGAGTAAACTAATATAAATTCACAATATCAACTAAAGTTTTGGTTCTGTTAACAATTATGTAACATTCAGGAGCTCTCAATTACATTAATTAGCCAATATAATGTATATTGCTATACCTGCACAGTGCCTGTGCTTTAATTTTCAAAATTATGCATATTCAAAAGATGAAAACCCTCAGATATGCTTGAATACTATACACACTCTGGTTTAAAAATTAAGCATGAAATAACTCCTCCAAATATATACACTCTAACCATATATTACTGCAAAAACTGTTACAAGAAAGTTAAGGTTGTGAAATAAATTTCTAGAAAACTTAGGAAATGACAGTTAATGCTGTACACACATCAACAAGAATTTAATTACTAATTTTATCTTGTTCTTTGGGAAATATGAAGCACTGATGAAATAAAACGAAGAACAGAGAAATTATGAGTTTGTGACAAGTTTTGGATTCTTTTTTGAGAGAAACTTGGAAAACACCCCAGATTTAAGTTTTCGTTGTGTCTCTACCTCAGACAATGAAATTCTGACAGCTTACATGACCTTGCTTGCAATTCTGTCAGAAATACCACTTATTCCAAGGACAAGAATCTTAAATAAGTATCTTAAAAAAGGAACACTTAGAAAATGCTTACACCGACTGCTCCTCAAATGTCAACACAACAAGTATCACAGGTCTTTCTAAAGTTAAAACTTACCAGAGGTACATTTCTATCGATGATAGTCCGGAAGATCTCCATCCACTGAGTCATAGTCTGGTTATTCACCAGCTGGAGTGGCAGTGCATACTGAAATAAGAAAAAAAACCCCACAGGTATGAAATACTATTTTTCCCTGTAAAAGGTAGATCTTTCTGCAGTAGTCACATTCTGAGGAAGATGAGGTTTTAAGTAAAATTAAAACTAATTAGGTTAGATATCAAGACTACTCTAATTGTATCCTTCTTGGTCCAATTTACAGATGAATTTCTGTCGACTCAGAATTTGAGGAAACTTCCTTGGTCTGAGAACTTGCCAATTCTTTTTGCTCCTTTCTCTTCTTCACAACAGCCCAGCTACCTTTCAGGGACCCAGCAGTGTCTGTATTATGGGGTTTGGGCAAACAAATAGCATTTTAGGAAGCATAATGTGCTTCTTATTACTGCCTTGCTACTATCTAGTAAATCTTTACTTCTCTACAATACCCAAATCAAAGCAACAATATTCAGGAAAGTTACTGAAAAGAAAAGGATACTGGTATATTTTTAAACCTCCCCCCATATAATAACAAATTATTTTAACCCCCAGTAAGAATTTTCAGGCTAGCCCTTATGTAGGATATGGTTTTGTTTCTGATTCTCTAAAAGTGCTCCCTCACCAAGCTCATCCCTGGAAAAGCCAAACTCATCTCTCTAAAATGGATGTCCTTCACTAAATAATATCTGTCTGATCTTCAGAACATAATGAGAAATGCCACCTACTGAAGTGCAGTACTTGACAATTACACTCCAATATCCATTACTGACAATTTCAGAAGCCAACCACACAGTGTAGATACCCATACAGTTCATGGCAGGTTATGTGCAATTTTATAAAAGTAGGACATTTCTCCAGTAAGACTACAGACAGAATGTGCAGAAGTACCTACACTCATTAAAAATTTAATCTGGGAGATCATGTGACCAGGTTTTAAGTAGAAAGATCTATAAATATCATATTTTTATAACAGTTGTTTATTGTAGGTGACTTTGCCCATCCAAATGGGTATTCTTATTCAATCCCACCCCTGAGTGTACTGAAAGGGGTCATTGTGCCCAGCAAAGTAAAAGTTGTGCTTTTTCCTCTACACAGATGCCAACCTGAACAAGAGCATAGAAGATTTTTAAGATCTGTTTCTGAAGCAGTACAGAGTAATGGGAGTTATCAGGCAGAAGCTGGATCATCTGCTGCTGAATCCGAGGCAAAAATATTTGCATTGCTGCTATAAGAGGATCTCGCTCCTCTGCTTTCTTGTATCTGCAAAGGAAACAAAAATGTTGGTCCAGGATCTCCACACTGGAGATTCTAATGCCTATTCCCCACCAGCAATTTAATTTCTGTCCCCTAAAAAAAAGAATATCCACCTCTCCCTCACTCTCCCCTTCTCTAGCCCCCATGTCAACAATTTGTGCAAATTCACTATGAATACCTATAAACAGAGAAATAAAACCCAACAAATGCTACCTTACCCAAATGCATCTAACTGAGAGGAAGAACTACTGTTCTTTACTACTGAATTGTGAGCTCACGGGAGCAGTGACTTGAATTTCTCTGACGTTCATACCAATGGCAAGCCCAAGTTGGGTGCTGAACAAATAGGAGTGAACAGCCATCAGAAAGGAAAGACAATTCCTCGGTTTGGAAAAGATTGTCTTTCTCTATTTCCATTCCTTTTGTGTGGTTTATACGCACGTTTCTAACAACAGGCAATTACAAAAGAAGTGAGTGAGAAAGCTCATTACACTGCTCTTAATTCACACTTTGTGGATTTAGACTATCAGGAGGATGGTACAGGTACATGTGCAAGAGATACATGTACAATTGTACGTTTGACAGTGACAACACTGCAGTCACGACATAAAAGCAGAAAACAACTTGCATTCATATACCCAGCATCTGGGGACTCTCCAAACAAAGGAAGTTATAAACCTATGGACTTTTTCAGACATAGATTGAAGGTACATGGCCTCAAGAAAGAAATGTCAGTAAATTCATACAGGTTATTGCTGGCATCTCTGCTTTCAACTCACTGATGACAGAAGGATGATGAATATTTTTCATTTATTTGCAGGAAAGGAACCATAATTATTCATTCCCATTTTCTATATGAATTCTTTGTAGAACTGCTGGTGCTCTCAATAAAGTGATTTTCAGTAATCAACTTAGAGTAAATGCACTGATTCCTCCCCTACTGATGGACATCAACTTACTCATAAGTCTTCACCAGCTGATACAGGCACAGGAGGCTCCCGAGCCAACTCCCACTGTTTGGGGACTGCAGGTAGTAGCCTATCTTGTCCACAACAGCTGTCCAATGGCCAGGAAAGTCATGTTTGATGATAGCACGGAGGCACATGGTCAGCTGGGCTCTAGGGCAGGAGGGAAAAAGAAATATATTGTAAGCAAGTAAGATCGTGGCATAGGGTTTAAAATTAAAGGACAGATCCCAAATCGTGGATTACTGGCTGCAATACATATATTATGTCATAAGCATCATCCATATTTAGACAGTAGTGCAAGAGTTCTGGGAAGTGGCAGAAGAAAAACAAGAATAAAATCTTACGGGATTTAACTTTGAGGAGAAAACTAATTCCAGAACATTTTAGGTACTTTCCCCTCCTCCCTATGCATCAGGCAATATTTTAAAAGAATGAATTGCTCATGAAACCAGCTAGCTTTGTACTTTAAAAATGAATGTTTATACTTGCTTTTGAGGATGAAAGCAACCACAAAAACACAAATTTGTATGTTTGCAATAAACAATAATGGCCTATGTTATGACCTAAGCCACAGGTTCCTCAAGAAATTAAAATATTCCTGATTTCTAGAACAGCACTTTCTCAACCTCCAAAGCATAGGGCAGAGCCAGTTAGGTAAAAAACATCTTACCATTCCTCTCCTTCCACACACTTTTAGATGCCACTCATGAGGGTGAGGCAAAGCAGGATTGTTAGTTGACTGAAGTGAGGTATGACTAAAAAGGGTGAGCAGCACTGAACTAGAAGCTGTAAAGAAACACTCTTGGTTCTGCTAAGGAATGAAAAAATATTTTGTCTTATCTTCTCTATTTAGTTTTCCTCAGGTATCCTTCTGCAGCCCCATTACATCAGGAGCCACTATTACAGAATAGTTTAATATGGGGCCCAAAACCTACTGATCCTTTTAGCTTTGTACAAACTTACCTTCCCCCTCAAGCCTTTGGAGTTTGTGCTTGTTGCCAATTTGGTTCCTCCTCTCCCCTTATTCTTACAAGCAAACCATGAAAAATATCAGTATTAAAATATCAGACTAGTTGCAGTAAAGCTCCTTTGACGTTTTTAACCTCTGACAAATCTGCAAGTTTTTCCAGTATTTAAAAACCCTGTACTTTATTCCAAGTGACTGTCCCGGGGTTTTCAACTGTTCTTTTAGATGCAGATTGTCATTGTAACATCAGGTCATTTTAAATATCAAGTTAGGAAATGATGCCTGAGCTAGCTTGCAAAAAAGTCTTCAAATTTCCATTATTTTGTGTTCCTTTGTATAAACTTAGCCTTGGTATTTATGACATGATGGCAGGGGAAACTACGTGCCTTTACCTCATTACTACAGAAACAACAAGCACTTCCTTACCTTGTAGAGAAACCTTGGCAAGGAGCTCTATCTCTTAGTGGAGATACTAAATCTGTGTCAGAGCATGTTAGAAAAGCTGAACTGAAAATGATGATTTAGTTCATTTCCTTGTCTCTGCACGGGCTCATTTATACCCTAAGCATTCCTGGCAGGTGTTTGTCTAATCTACTCATAGAGACCTCCAGTGACAGCAATGCTACTGCAGTCTAAATTCATTCTGGTGTATCATTATTTTTCTGAAGCCTTATTTCTAATTTCAATGTGTAGTCAATCATTCCTCTTCCAGATATGATTACTGAAAAAATAAAGACATCTTCAGGCAGTAGCTGGTAGATTTAGGAGGAGAGTAAAGGAAGATTTTCTTCTGTTTTTCAAAGATGAACATCTATACACCACAGTCTAATCCCATCCTATCAGCCTCACTCTGATTAGAGAGATGAGCAACCATAGACTGTAGTATGTCTTGTGATTCTTCACTATCCTTCCAGCAAAAAGAAAACAGTAGTTCTTCATTCTTTTAACATCTTAAAACCAAGAACACTAATACACATTTAAATACTGGGATGTCATATAAAAATTGTTGAAGTAATTAAGAAAAGGGCTACCAAAAAAAGGAAACAAATCTTGAGCAGTATTTCCCCTGAACGGTTAATTCTGTATTGCAGACAGCCCTGTACACAATCTGCCCTCAATCAGCCAAATAGGCAGGCTGTCACTAAAGCAAGTGTTAGGGGACACTTTGAACAAACACCATAGGAGGATAAATCACATCACAGGGCTCTCAGCCAGGCTACCACATTTCTGAAAAACAAGCGCACGTAAATAAGTTTAAATTAATTATTATTGCTTTTGGAAAACAAGTACTTGTTTCGTCTCCCAAAACACTGAGATTCTCACATTCACATCCAGACTGGTAGGTTTGAAAACACGAGCAATAGAAGTATCTCTGTGCAATTAAAGGTACCTCACTAAGTCAGGAGAACGAATTATTCCTTCCACAATGTTATCACGAATCTGCTGACGATCATTTTCATGGATGTTGAATGGAAACACTGCTTCTCCAGGAGGTGGCTCACGGTCTGGCCAGTACTGTGTCACCATGTTCTTCAGGTAAATGGCAGCTAAGTATAGACATCAGGGAAATAATAATTTAATTCTAACACACTTCTACATTACTCAAGATGTAGTACAGCTGAAAGCAGAACAAAAGTTCAAAAGACGACTGAAAACCAGCACCTGAGTTCTTAACAATTACAGGCACTAAGCACAGCTGAGTCAGAAAAACCTTTTTTATGATTTCACACAAGATCAGGCTCAAGTGGCTGTTGCTAAACAGAACAGGATGATATTTCTGTCAGCTTCTGTCAAGGTACACTCTTCACTACAACAGTCTTCCATATGGACGTAATACTCCATTGCTCTAAACAAGCAAACAAAAATCTGCTTATCTGTATTTTCACTCACCCCTAAAACAACTACTCAGGCTCAGTAAGTGAAGTTTGGGAAGGCTCGTGTAAACAAATCGCTGCACACACAGATGGGACGCTCTGCTTGGGGAAATGCCCAGTACCAAACTGGCACGTGGCCTACCTTCTATTCACACAGAAATGTTTGTTGTGAATTCCCTAAGCTTTATCTCACTATTAGGATTTCCCATAATCCCTTAGAATTGTTCCCTTCAGTCTCACATGGAAAACCATGAAAAATAAAGCTAATCTTCAACAGAAAACCAAGCAGCATTTATGCATCAGTACCAAAATGCCTGTAGGCATTCTTTAGGAAACATAGGAAATATGGTGTGAGGCATTAAAGGAATGTTCTTACTAAACTCTTATCCCTATACACTGTTTTGGTTGATTACTGGCTAGGGTTTTAAAGTATAAATAAGACATCCTTGGGTACAATAATTTTTCTCTGTGATGACAAATTACAAAGTATGAAAACACGTAGTCTGTTAAATATTTTATAGGAGCAAGAGGAAAAACAGCTCTTTGTCTATGACATGCCAGAATATTCAGACAAGAAACAGATCCAGAAAGACCAGCCCAAGACTTTAATTTACTTTGTCCATGCAAGTTATTGGCTTTTAAAAAATTCCCAGGGAAATCTGTTGACCTCCAAATGTAATTTAAATGTGCTTTTTTTATTTTATAGCCCTACTCTGTAAAAAAAAAAAAAATTACATTCTACATAGTTGGGTTTTTTCCTGAATGATACTGAAATGAGAGATTAATTTATAAAGATGACCGTATGGAGTTTAGATTAAGCATCAAACTTTAGTAAAGAATGGTTTAACAACGCCATTCAAAGTTGGATTATCTTTGAAAAAACAAACGCCAGCATGACAAACAGCATATGTCAGCACACCCCAACACACCCAGGGGATTAATAGGATCTGTACCAAAAAAAAAAAACCAACAGGGCTTCTGTGGGAAACACTGTTCCATAGGACAAAAACAAAGCTGTGAATAAAACAGTATTAATAATTTATTGAAAGAGCTGCATTTTCTCTGTATCTGTCAAAAATATTGTGCAGGAGTAGTTAAAACGGGTTATGAGAATTTAGAATCTGATTTTACATAAGTGTTAACTATAGTTAACTGCATCACCATACCTGAACTCACACACAACTGGGCAAGCCTTCTAGACATGTTCAGAGTATAAATGTATATTTTATCAGTGATGTGACCTTCCTTCATATCTACTTTTGTAAGCAGACACCACAGATACAATCTAAGCTTATATGGCTACCCCGGATCTGGGGAACCAAGGGGTTTTTTTCCATTTTTTAGGAACTTCTGTTCTTCCAAGGAAAGAGATTCAAACAGAGAGACATGTGTTCAGACTTTTTATAAACTTTATATATAAAGATATACTTTTTTATTTTTAAATTCACACTTGTCTTAGCATTCTTCTTCATTACCAGGGGAAAAAACACCTGAGGCTCCCTGGGTGCTCAGTTTTGAGTAGAAATCATTCTCTTTCCATATCAGTATCACAGCAATCCAGCAGGGATCACTACGAACGCAGGGAAGCCAAAGCTGGACTCTGCCCTATTCTCATGGTTTTATCTGACCCTCGTGTAGGAAAGAAAAAGCAAAGATAGGTCCTTTTCATTTCCTCATTCCAAACAAACCTGAACTGACTTACATTGCAACAGCCCAATACTCCACTGAAATAACTAGCAGACTGACCTGCTACTGAAAGAAAATGAAACAAGGGATTTAACTCACCTGCTTGACGCACTGGAAATTCAACTTGATCGGATACTATAATTTGCAGCAGACTTGGAGCAAAATTGATGATCTTATAGGACTGAAATATATACAAAACACAGTTAGCAAGTCACTATGTTTACAGAAGGCTGTGTTAGCAAATGCTGAAAAAGACATACAAACTAAGGATTTCGCAGTGCTTTTCCACTCTCCTCATGAAGTGTAAAAGGTTTTAGCACCTGGATTTACCCAGATCTGCAACAGTCCAAATAATTACTTGTAAAAGGCGAGCATGCAACAGCACATGGGTGGAATAAGTAATGTGACAAGGTTTTCAATTAGAGATTAGTGACAATGAATATTTAAATAATTCTGAGAATACATAATGAGAAGCACTAAAGATCTGTCTGAATCGTTTAACTTAGCTGTGTAAGTCAAAGGGATATTGACATGATTCATCAAGACATGCCATCTATTTGCAAAATAGTTTGTGGTAGAACAGCAATAGTGAAGACATTAAAAAACATTTAAAATTGTTTTCAAGTGTAAACAGCATTTGCATTAGCCATATACAACTACCTTTTTAAGGAACTAGATGTATAGTGCATCTAAACAAAAACTGGGGAAATAGTGGAATAAATATTTTCAATCGAGTGTAGACAGACAGCATTTCAAAACCCACAGCCTTCCTGGGAACTTTTCAAACACTACATCAGCCGTGCAGCTGAAGAATTTCAAAGAGAAAACAATGCTCACTGAACTTCTGAGCAAAGCAGGCCAGATTTAAAAGATGTGACACTCTGATAGCATTATACTGCTGCCATTCACCAGGGCTCCTCCAGCCAGGAATCGCTGACTCAGCAGGGTGCAGTTACTACTAAGCCTTGGCAACATCAGTCGGTTCCAGCAGGTCAGATCTTTCATCACTTGCATCTGTGTGATTTATGTTCAAAGAAAGATGTTTCTTGGGGCTAGATGGCAGCAGCTTTCTGTACTTCACCTTTTATTGTGTCTCCTTCCCACTAGATTATTCCTGGCAATACTGTGGTTGTTTCCAGAGCTGTGCTTGCACAAGTATTCAAGTGTACTATATCCTTCCATAAAATCTGCCTCACTTGAAGCTGTGAAATAAGAAGTAGGTTCTGCTCGTCATGTACCCAGTTCCTTGATCTCACATTTCCATAATGAGGTAAAATTACATTGCTTTCATGACGCCTGAGTGTACCAGCTGCATCGCGACACTATCATTCGATAATTTTACCAAATCACTTAACTTTCTGGCCCTCATTTTATCCATTATAACGACAGTGTAATTCCAACCTACTCTGTGCTCACAGACTCATTTGATGTTTATAGAGTAATCTGAGATCTAAGATAAAAGCAGTAGTGGCAAATCAAAAGCATACTCTCCTGCAATTCCCTTCTCTATAAACTTTAATTATCCCTAAGAAATGCTCCAGATGAAGTAAAGCTGTAACAGACAGCACAGGAACTCCATTTATGTACAGACAAGCTGAACTAGTTGAAGCATACTGGATTCCAAAGATCACCTTTTATTTGAGCATCCTGGAGAGCAAAGCTTGCCCTTCAGAATCTGTGGGCGGAATGTGGACAGAATCTGTGCAACGTTGGTGGGTTCTGACAGGGCTGCAGCATCATCCTCCCAGCACTCAACACCCAACTCCCAGGGAGATAAGGAAAGCATGAGAAATCCCAGCAGCACAGAAAACCAAGAAATATGCATGAATTCTTAACAGTCCTTTCTGTTCTCAACAGTGTCAATATGCTGTTTTCAGACCCAACTACACACAGCTTTTACTACTATATAAACACACCAATTAGAAATGCAACCTTTTGTGGGTTTGTTTTGTTGTGGATGGGTTTCCCCTGCAATTCCACCAGTACCACATTTAGGGAGGACACAGTGATAAACATAATTATCTCCCTTGCTCTGTCCAAACAGTTTTTACTGAGTCCAGGCTAAAGTCAGCACTACTCCAGGGCGCTTTATTGGTACCACTTGTGCTGGTGTACAACTGCTATCCCTGAAGGTTTGCCAGGATATCCACAAATGCAGTTACTTGGCCTGTGTGCCAGATCCTCTCAGCAAGCGCCCGGAGGGACAAGGGACATGTTACGCAGAAGGTACGCACGTGTCCCACAGGGGGACCCATCCCTACCGGCACACGGCTATGCAGGGTTCCTTTACACTTCACATGCCGCCACCCCCAAGGAGATCACAGGGCTCACCAAATCCTCCTATTCCACACTATTATTGTGGTCATAATTCACATTTTTACACAGCTCCCTTTACTACTCGTTCTTAGAAATACAAATGTTGTAGAGATCAACAGAGACCGTGAGCCCATTTTAGAAACAAGACACCCGATTCTGTTGTACTTGTCAAGCTCAAATTCCATCCTGCTCACTTGTGCAGCAACAAACCCAGTCAGGAAAACCACACGGTGCTTGCAGTTTTCAGAACAGAGGAGTTTTTAAAAAGCTGCAGGCAGCAACATTTTTCCTATACCAGCACATTCTCGTTTGTTCAGTTGTTATGCTAATTGTGATCTTGGGACTATTCCTTCGCTGCCTTGCTCCAGACATCAGCGAGTAAAGCTGTACAGATCCCACGAGGGCAACTGTCAGGTGTGCACTGCGTAAATGGAAAAAGACAAGGAAGAGACCTTGCAGCTGGGTGAGTTCAGCCAGACAGTTCTTTGTATCACTGCAGCTGCACCTTAACAAAAGGAGAGCAGGAATATCGTCAGTTCCACAGAAGGAACGGAAAACTATCTGCTGATTTTGAAGAGCCATGGCCAGGAGCCGCAGGGAGGCACCAGATGGCTGAAAAAGACCTTCAGCACAACTCCAGTTAACACAGCACACTGCTTTGTGCAGTTTGTGAATAATTACATTGCCTTGAATCCACATGGTTGTGATTTGGTAAAACTTTCTGTGAAGGTGCTGATCCATGGGGGCATATGTTTATTTTGAAGGAGAAAGTGGAAGTTTTTGAAAAATAAACTTTCCCAGAGTACTTATAAAGAGTAATTATCTTACAGCTGTGTAGAACACATCCTGACTGTTCCTGTATGAACCACAGATTAGAGCATTTATAATAATTAAAAAACAAAATCATTTAATTTCCATTGGGTTTAAGAGGATGGAATACAGCAACGTGCAAGGCCAGCAGCTAAACTGGGAGAGGCATATAGCATTGGGAAGACACAACTGGGTAAATTTACAGCGATGGAGAAGAGATGCATATTGTCCCCATGCACATTGTTCCATCTGTGTCTACTGTCTCAAGACCTCTGCACTGCGGCTGAACAGCTTCCTGGACTCTGGTCCTCCACCTTTGGCCTAACATATTCTTCCCTGCCACAGCATCATAGATCCACTCCTCAAAAGATTACACATTACACACAACTAAACTCGTTTCAGGAGTGTTATTCTTGTGTCTCAGTTGCTGTCACATTTAAAGCCGACAGCAAGCAACTGCCCCAGAATCACATTTGTCAGTGACCTTCCCACTGCACTGACAGCAACCACAGTGCCTGAGTGCAGAGTGGCACTGAAAGGTGCTTCTTCCCCTGCAGAACAACAGGACACTCCAGCATAATGGATATGGGACACCTGGAAGCTTTTCCTCAGGTTCTGCAAGTGAAGCCAAGATCATCCTTCTCCACCAGTAGTAAACATCACTTTCTCTGTACCTCTGAATGCAATTATGGCACATAAAAACTGCTGAAAAAACAAGGCACTACATCTTTGTTTGCAAAGACAAACGCAGAAGAAATTTGTATCTTGAATTCATAAGCAATTAACTGTTTACAGAGATTATTTTAAGGCTCAACTACCTGCTTTACCAAGTTTGTTTGCTGTGTACTGAAAATGTGTTACTTAGAAATTCCATCAGCATTTGTCACACTTGGGAATATTTCTGCAGTTGTTAGTAGTATTTTTCTCTCTCGTTTTTTTACATTGTCAGTCGCAGACAGTTGTTGAATCAAACTAGAACTTCAAAAGACACTTTCTTCTTTCCCTGCCTACATGCAAAAGTACTGTGTGGGTAGGGGAATACACACAGTGAAAATAAGTACGTGCAAGAACCTACCTGAGCTTCTTTCCTCTATTGATTCTGCTGTCAAATTTATCCAGTTTCAATAAAACTCCACTTTCCACAGAACTTCTGATAATCCAAGTCAACTTTCTCATAAAGTACCTGAAATTCCTTCCTCTAGGTATCATGAGTTGCTCATTGCCACTTTCAGAGTGGCCTCAAGATTCCTGCCTACTATGCAGCCAGCTCAAACAATGTGTAAAGATACAGAAGGAAGCCAAACTTTATTTTGGACTCCTCTGCTTTTGAGCAATCTTCTCACACTTCTTCCAGTGCTGCTACTCAGCTCCTGTCAAAGCCAAATTATGTCACTACTGCCCAATATTAAAACAAACAGCTGTATTTCTGCAATTGTGTTCTTATTCCCTCTTTGTTACAGGCCAAAGACATGTATTACAGCAGACTGAGCCACTGAAGATTAATGCATAAAACCTGTACGGAAATCCTATCTGAACTGGAATCGAAATGACTCTGTATGTTCAGTAATCAGACAGTACAGTCCACAGCACTTCAAGAACTGGTACATGAAAGCAGCATACAGTCATAATATAAATAAATAAATAAGTAAATGAACCCAGCAAAATTCCTTGAAGTCCATGAGACACACGTAACTGGTAAAATAGTCTGGAACAGATTCTGAAGAAGGATGCCCAAAACTGAGTATCCTTCTTTGTAGGATAACTGACTGTTCCAGTAAGTACAGTGTGATTGATAAATACAACCATAAACTGAACTATGATTATGATGTGACAGAGCTGAAGAAAAAAAAGGGGGGGGGACACAAAAGAAAAAGAGGGAGATGGAAAGGTGTGTACACTTCAAAAACCAACTAAGGCTAAAAGGGAGATGACAGCAGTTACGTGACAGACATTACTGACCCGGCAGGAAATTACTGCTCTAGTTTAGCAAGAATCAGATTTCAAACAAATCCCACACTTACAGTTGTGTTCAGATCACAGAGAGAAGTGAAGTTTGTTGATGACTCAGAAGCAGCATCAAGCAAGGAGAAAGATCAGAAAATCCTATAAAGAACTGAATGATCATTAGAACTGCACCAACAAAAATGGAGTGGGGTAATAGGACAAAGTACATGGTCAGGTACTCAAGAATAATAGGAATTTCTCCTAAAAGCTTGAGGTTTCTTAGTAAAGGACAGACATAGGATAAAAGGACCTTGCATATTGAGTGATAAGAAATATGTAGATATTGGACATGAAGAAGATGATTGCAGATTTGGGATGTACCTAAGGAGGTATCAGTGGCATTGAGCACAAGACTTCCTGGAACGCTGCAAACACAAAACGACCAGATCACACAGGAAAGATCAATTCAGAGGAAAACCAGTGCAGGGAAAAGCTGTGCTCTCCTATTATTAGATTTCATAAATTCAGTTTTATGACACAGTAAAGGAAATATTGCCTGTTGAGGCTGGGAAAACAGGCCTCCAGGGAGCAGCCCCTGACAAATATGTCAGAGAGGGTACCAAGAAACCTATTCTAGTTAAGAAGTGAGATTGGCACAAATGGATATAAATGGACCATAAACTAATTTTGCCTGGAAACCAACACTTGTTTCTAGCTGCAAGAGAAAGAAAACTCACAAGCAGCCCTACAGTAGATATAATAAGGGGGGAAAAAAAAGGAATTTTGATTCTATTTCTGAATGCAGTTAGATGATAATCTAGATGGCAGACAGTAAATTCATTGATTTGGCTCTATCTTTATGCAACAGGAACACACAGAAGAGAAAGAAGCATTTTCAAACATGCTGTGACTTCTTACAGGTAGAAAATCTTTCATTCATATAAACTCCATTCCCTGTGCTAGAGGCTGTAAGCAAACTGTGGAGTGGGGACTGCTCTGATACTGTCCTAAAGGACTCTCAGTACTGGTACAAGCAATGAGGTGCCCACAGAGAGGCACTATATGGGTGGAATAGTAGGATTTGTGGTGCCTGGGAAGTTCTTATCACTATGTGGATGCCTGGATGCCAATGCACACTGCAGAGGGATAACACAGCCAAGTTTTACCTCAACACCCAACAGTGGGCCTCGGGAACAGCATCACTGTAACCACGGCACAGAATAAAGGTAGCCCCTGCTCTGTTCGGACCAGGGTTATTTTACCACTTCAGGTACCTACTGCTGGAGAGTTTTCTGTTTGGATGGTGGATTGGTTCCTTTGCTAGAACAAGATAAATGCTAGAACAGCATCTGGATTCCAGCGCTTGCAGGGACACAACGGCATGTCAACACCATCATCAGACACACGGGAGTGTGACACATCCCTTTGAAGTCTTGCTTCAAAAGCACTGAAGAGCTTCAAGATGTCAAAGTCCCACGTTAAGCAACATTCTTTAGGAGCACTTTTGTTCCTCTCATCCAAGGAGTAATGTCAAACCCAGCCAGGCATCAGCACATTATGTCAGTCAGATCACACTGTGCTTCATTTATAACAGGAAGCCTACACAAAATTAGGTATGTCTTAATTTTGAGATTGGTTCTTTGTAATAGTTAGGGAAAAAATGTGTCAACTATTTTAAAGAAAAATCTGCATCTCAACCTGTTCTCAGTAAGTCTACTTGCACTCTTGAATCTAAAAACCTCTGTCTTTCATGAGAACTGCACTTTCCATCACCTGAACTTAAAACATTTTACAGCTCTCAAGCTTAAAATGCTTTCAGAACTGTTCCTGAGCTTCACAGTAGTTACTGTGAAAATAGCATTAGGAGCAGGACCCGGGAACCCAGAGAGCTGCCTCTTTGTTCTGAACACAACACTGCAGTTCCAGTAGCTGTGTATTGTAGTTTTGACTCCTGTGCAACAGGCTGCTGACAAATATTTGACAAAAAATTTCCCTCTCAGCCCTTCACAGCAGGGATAAAAATAGGTACTGATGAACTTTGAAAGTAATTATGCCAAATAAAGAAGAAACGTCTTGCATCCTTATCTAACTATTCCCAAGAGCATTCTCAACGTCCAGCACTTAATCCACTATTTACTAAAGGACCTTACCAACTGCTAAAGCACGGATCAGCTGTATCTAATTCAGAAGGAGTTTTAAATTGCCTAAATAGAAAACTAAGCCAGAGGAGCATATCCTGAAGCAGCCGTAATTCCTGACAGCCAATTCTCAGCGACTGTTTTGATATCACACCAACACAACGGAAAAACCCAAGTCGTCCTACAGAACTGATCAAATATTCCACCGAAGCACGGGGGTTAAAAGCTTCACTAATGCTGTGCAAGGCAGCTTTCTCTTTTCTCTGATGTTCAAAGGTTGTGGTCAGAGGTTTGATTCAGTGCATAGCACCGCTACATTAGGGAAAGGTTTTGACATCAGGAAAAGGTTCTTTCCCCAGAGGGTGCCTGGGAACTACTACAACAGGCTCCCCAGGGCAAGTGGTCACAGCACTGAGCCTGACAAAGCTCAGGAAGCGTTCGGATGATACTCTCAAGCACATGGTGGGATTGCTGGGGTGTCCTGTGCAGGGACGGGAGTCGCACTCGATGATCCCGACAAGTCCCTTCTACAAGTCCATATATTCTACGATTAACTGCGGGATGCCGTGACCAACACCGCCCGTGAAATCCAACGCGCCTCCCTCCAACGGGGCAGCGGGAGCGCCCGGGCGCCAGTGCCGCCCGTCCCTGCGACCCGCGCAGGGCCACGCCAATGTCACCCCTCCCGCACCGAGCGGCAGCGCCCCGGCCGCGACAAGGGCTGGCGTGGAGCGCTGCTCCGGGGCTCCCGGCGCTGCGGGACGCGCCCGTCCCCCATTCCCGTCCCCCGTTCCCCCATCCCGTCCCCCATTCCCCATCCCCACGTCCGTCCCGTCCCGGCCGGGCGGTCCCGGCGCAGGGCAGAGGACGCCCGCCCCTGCCAGCGGGGCCGGGCGCCCCGTGCCGCGCCCCTCACCTGGTTGAGCTCGTTCTCGGCGGCCACGCGCAGCTTGGGGTCTATGGTGCCCTTCAGCGCCTGGATGATCCTGTTGGGATCCATCGCGCCCTCCCCCCCGCCGGCGGGCAGCGCTGCCCCGGGGCCGGCAGAGGAGGCGGAGGAGCCGCCGCTAGCGCCGCCGCCGCCCCCCCGTGCCACGAGCGCGGCCCCGCGTCCCGCACCCCCCCCGGCCCCTCGCCACAGCCATTCACCGGTTTGCGACAGATGGGTATCGGGAAGCGGGCGCTGCTTTACGGCCGCGGCGCCGCCTTCTGGCTTGGGGAAGGGGTCGGCGAGAGTGGCCGCCATCTTGTTGTACGGACAGGAGCGGCGCGGCGCTCGGCGGGCGGGGCCGGCGGGCCGTGGCTCCCTGGGGGCGGCCATGTCGCTGTACGGAAGGAGGGCGGCACCTCCCGCCGCGCCCCTGCGCGGGCTGTTCTTCAATTAGGGCTTGAGACGCCTAATTTTCCTTCTCCGCAGCTTACTCAGTTTTCTAGATAGCTCCCCAGCGTGCGCGCCAGGCTGGGCTGTTCTGTGTTTGCGGCCCGGTGCGTTGTTCGCACAAGAACTGAGAGTGAGGAGGCCGGGACTGAGCGGTGGTGTCGGTCCCACGGAGGAGCGCTGACATTGTTCACGCGGTTGTCCAGGTGCCCAGGGATGTGCGGCTGCACAAGAACGGCTCGCAACCTACAGGAAGACAGAAATTTGCTGCCAGGAGCTTCCTAAAACGCATAGTTGGGACACACGCTGCTGTGCTGCTGAGCGTGCTTCTGTGGGATACTTGTCCTCATCATCATGTAGATGAGTAGAACCTGAAAAGGGTTTGCTTATCTTCACGTTGTCTGTGTGTGAAAGTGGGTGGAAGGTGCTCACCCCTCAGGTTGTCAAACACCACTCCTAACTTCAAACGCCACCTCTAACACTTCTAACTCAAGCACCTGGCCCGTCCTGGTCCTCCACCTCTATCCTCCTGTTTCTCCCTTAAGTCCTAGAAGACACACGTGAACCAAAGTAAGGTTTAAGCATCGGTACAGGTCTAAGAAAGATATCTATCAAAGACATAGTTGAACAACAGACCAGAAAAACCTCATGACTAATAGGACCTTGGTGAGCCAAATCCTCTGGTTACTTCTGCAGGTGATGTTTTACATAACATTTACAAACCAGAGACCTGTGAGGATCTGTTAGAAAGAACAGAAAGACTATTTGCTGTGCTTAGGAAGAGACAAACAGAAGGGCAATTACAAGATCATCCCATTATATAGGTGCCTTAAGAATACAATGGGACAACATGTCATTTGTTCATTGTAATTACAGGATAAACCAAGGAAGATGTTAAAGCAGGTGGCACTGTGGTGATTTAATAAAAAAAAAAACAAAACCAAACAATTTGTCCCTTAGTAACTTTGCCTCTAATTAGGAAAGAATTCAGCTGTAACAATGAATTGCACCTACCAAGCACCTGGAGATCCTGGGCTCTCTTGTGGTTTTCATCACCTTTTGAAGTGTTGCAGAACACCTGATCGTTATCTTTGTGTTCTCCAGTTACACAGCTCTACAGCATCCAGCAAGAAATTATAGGCACTTTTCATTCACCTTTCCTTTTCTTCTTAGAAGTAGATGAAAGTATGTTCTGTAATCATAAAATAGAAACAAAAACAATGTTAGTGTAAAAAAAAACAAAACTATGTTAACTATGTAATTATTAGTTATGGCAATTCTTTATTATTTTCCCATTTTAAATAAGACTAGTCTAGTGAAAATGCCCATTTCAAAGATCTTGGATCACATATCATACCCAAAACAACTTACTTAAAGGACTTGTGGTGTTCTCTCTCTATTCCCTTTTCCCAAAATGGGATGTTATGGACAGTTTAAGAGCAGTTCCGCTTCATTCCATTTCTGTGTATTCATCTGTGGTGAGAAAACTTCAAAGGTGCGAAATTTCTTTGTTGAAGAACTTCAGTCTTGCAGAGCTGGTGACAAAAAACATATCAATACAGAAAAAAACCATGCTTGAAGTCTATATTAATATCTCAAACGTTTTTTAGAATTTTATTAACTATATCTGAAATGGCACTTTTAATACTCAACATTGATTACACAAGAAGTGGAAGAGATTTTATGCCTGAGGTTTGGCTTATAAAACTGCTTTTTGTGCACACAGACATCAATGAGGCAATGCCAGCAAGTCTCCAAATCAAGTAACATCCAGTTCAACAATGCTTATTTCCTTTGTAGTATGCCAGCAGTGATTTAATTATGGAATTATAGTTGCAAAGTATTGTAGTCTGCCTGTGTGCTGGATTTTCTGAATGTTTGATATTTCTTTCTATACATGACCCTCCATAAATACCAATGGCTATGCTATTTTAAAAATAAGTTTAGTCATTAATTGAGTTGGTTTTTTTTTTTTAATGTAACTTCAAAAACTTCAGGATGGAAGTAACTACTTATAAGCAAGAACTCGTATTGTTAGAGCAAAGACTCTGTTAATGCTTTAAGCTTCATCTACTTCAAAATTCTGGATCTGGAACTGAATTAGAATTGTTGGGGTTTTTTAATCTGTTTGCTACTCTGCAAATAGGGAATCTGAGGTAAAATTCTGAGATGTGCTTGTCAGCCCTGTAACTCTGCTGGTGATCAAAGTTCCAGTGTGAAAGGGACAAGTGATATACGAAGAAATTGAAATCAAAAAATTGAAATCAAAAAATTAAATCAAATAGTACCAGGGAGGTAAGGAGATATGGAAAAGCAAAATTTTTTTTTTTTTGAAAGCTCTAAAACATTGCAGGTGCACTATAACACGAGCTTTATACAGCATTTAAAACAAACAACCTTAATTTGAAACTCAGTTGCTGAAACCAAAGATTTTTAGAGCAATGCGAGTTTGACTTCAACAAAAATCAGACCAAGTGTCTGACAGAATTGCCGTCAAGATAACCTGAATAAGTTCAAGAGCTTTGGGAGGCGGAGGAAAACTAGAAAAGCCTTACATATTGCAGATTGCTTCGAATTAGTCTTTTGACTTTTGGTGGTTTAGAACTGCATATGGAGTCTCAGCTGAACACAATGTGTAATACTTTCTGCTGGCATAGAACAACAGCTCCCTTATCATGCCAACCAAGTTCCTCTAAGACAGCATCTGGCCCTAAGTTGTAGTTAATAGCAGACACTCACGGAAAGAAAATGATCTTTGTGTGATGTGCTACAGGCTAAAAGTGATCCACTGTTTCCAGTACAGGGTTTACTTCATTGCAGTAATCTAATGACAAAGTGATTGTATCTGTACTTAGCATAAAGCCTTCCTTCCATAGCAGCCACATCTCAAACCTTACTCATCTAAGGCCCAAATGATGTATGAACTAATACTTTCCAGCCAGATTAGTTCTTCACCATATTATTTTTTCAAGCACAACACCAGCTGGAAATGTTCAGTCCACAGATACAAATTTATAAGTTTTTTTTAATTTTTAACAGGATTGTTTATAGTTGGGAAACAAGACATGAAATTAAGTTGATCAAGGACTTGTGAACAAGCGCTTCACTGGAGTTAACTCATTTTTATCTGGTTATGGTACTGTATCTCTCCAATTATAATACACAACAGAATTTTCGTATCTTCCACAAGACTCTCAAGCAATGTACAGATTTGATAAAGAGTTAGCAAGGATGATCTGCAGCAGATAAATCTATTCCAGTCCTCCAGGTACAAGCCTTTCACCAGAGTTAAAATTCCAAAGCAGTCTCCCCTGCTGACTGTTTTGTTGGAGCAGCTGTAGATAACAAAGCAGTCAGGGAGGAAAAGGTGTGTAAACTGAACCAGTACAACAGAGCAGTGGCATTCCCTGCACCACCACTGCAGCCTGCAGGATGGAGGTTTCCCTAGCTGCAGGCAGTCAGCCATGCCAATTCTGGGACATTATTCATGGTCTCCCATCAGTTCCATAACCTGGAAAAAAATTCACAGAAATACTGGTACCCTAGTGTTTTGAAACCTCCTAGAAACCTGTTATGGTTTAACCCCATGGCCAGGCAGCTCAGCCCTACACAGCCACTCACTCACACCCCTGCAAGGGGATGAGGGAGAGAATTGCAAAGGCAAAAGTGAGAAAACTTGAGGGTTCAGATGAGAAAAGTTTAAGGGGTAAAGCAAAAGCCATGCTCAAGCAAAGTAAAATCAGGAATTTTTTTACCACTTCCAATGGGCAGGCAGGTGTTCAGCCATTTGCAGGGAAGCAGGGCTCCAACTCATGAAATGGTCACTTCAGATGTCAGACACCGTAACTTGAACATCTCCCTTTCCTCCTTCCCTCAGCTTGTACTGCTGAGAACAACATCATAGGTCTGGGGCATCTTCTTGGTTAATTGGGATCAGCTGTCCCAGTTGTATTCCTTCCCAGCTCCTTGTGCACCCACAGCCCAATTGCTGGTGGGGTGGTACGAGAGGCAGAGAAAGCCTTGACACTGTGCTAGCACTGCTCAGCAATAACCAAAACATCGCTGTGTTATCAGCAGTGCTTTGGCCACAAACCCAAAACACAGCCCCACACCAGTTACTCCAAATTAACTCTCCAAATCAACTTCAAATTAACTCTCTCCCAGCCAAAACCATTACACACACCTGTTTCAGGGTAATTCCAGTATTTCACTGACCTCAGGCAAAGGAAACATGGAAATTCACTCATTCCAAATCAAAATTTAGTGTTAGTTCCTTACTCTTACAATTTATCTTCAGCAGGATGCACTAGAGAACTAAGCTGGAGAGAATTTAGGTGGTATCCAATTTAGCTAGCAAGACAGCAGTAAGAAATTAGCAGAAATGTATGTTTTAATTAGACCCAACTATCATTCTTACACAGTTAGGGCATTTTTCCTAATGCAACAGTTCAAGCAACTCCATTTAACAATTAGTGAGGAGAAAGATGCTGTCAGACAGTATTTACATGAAGTCTATGCAGTGTTACCTCAAGTATTTTCAAGTTGTGAAACTCACCTGTTAAATGGTTTGCCCAGAAGCAGAATAAAGAACTAGGTCATTTGTCTGGACATTCTGAGGTAGACTAAAACTGTGCCAGTAAATGCACTGAAATCTTCTGAAGTACTTTGAGAAGCTTTCAAGAAGCATTCATCGAGAA